CTCTAGGGCTGAAGTACACTTAGGGTGCCGATCTCATCATTGTATGCACAGTCTCTGCGGGATCAAGACCCCACATGGTCCAGTCAATTGATCTAGGCCTTGTTTTTGCAGATGTGAATAGAACATGTGCTCAAGTCAGGTCTACTCACAGTATGTTGCGCTCGGTATACCCCCCCCCATGTGGATATTTTCCTGCAATAGAACAATAAGCCATGTAGCCGTGGGTCTGTGTGGTGTCTCAGGCTTTCTCACGGCCCTTGTTGCATCAATGTAGGTAACTATAACCAACTAGTGAAATAGCAACACACGTTGTGTGCTGAGCACAGCCTCTCATTTGATAGAATTCCAGCTCTAAATTTTTTCTTCTTCTCGAAATCCATGAGTGATATAGCAAATTCAAGGCTTTATGTGATGCAGACCCTCTTTTGTTGAGAAGGAAAATGCATTCCCAACTTGGCGCATTCTCTGGCATTCAGAGAAGAACACGCTATCTCCATTAACGTTGTCTCTGGTTTTTTTCACCCTATCTTGGAAACTCAAAAGAATCAGAGCTTTGGTGTTCACTACCGAAAGCTCATCGTCAAGCCTTAAGGCAGCGTAAGCTCCTGATCGGGGGGAGGGAATGGTCTGGCACTCAAAATGGTAAAAGATGTGGAACTACAAGAGTTCGTTTTTATGTATAACTTTTTAAAATTAAGAAAACAGTACTCCTATCCACGTTTCCACCGTCCACAGAAGTAAGGAAATGAATACCGTAGGCAAGCTCTATAGCGCCAATCGTAAGTTAAGTGCTTCTGGGTTAGTTCGTCGAGATGTGGTGAGTAAGATAGTGATCATCTTCGCCAAGCAGCTGCGCCTCGTAACGTCGGAAGCTAGCTGAAAAGGGAGATCTATGTCTCCGTAATATTGACAACTATTATAGACCAGCATAAAGTGTCAAGGTCATTGTGGGGGGCGGTGGGGGTTGCCCGCGAGGTTTGGCTTTTCAACGGATTGAGACTCCGATCAGTCATGTGTTAGGGTTAGAGTTAAATGACGTTGCTTGTTGGCAAGGTAGAAATATCTCATCTACATTTTGAGGATTTTTTTTTGGCTTCAACGTGTTACTGGCGAAAAAAAATACTCCGATACCTAATAACATGGAACGAGGATCGGAGTGAATCTACGGAGCGCGGGGATCTAAATCAAAAGGAACTGTTTTGGTAGTACCTTTTCGGAAATTCAGGGGGAGAAAGTTTTAAGAAGGTCTAGTGGCATAATCATTCTTGATGGTTAATATCTTGAACTGCTATTTCAGGCAGGAGCTTCAGCCTGCAGGTTCTTGGTGCCTTGACCTCCTCGAGGCTGCAGATGAGATTGGGCAAAGATACACTGAATTTATGGCCAACTGATGGCCATAACCATCCTTTCTAAGTAACCAGGAAGGATCTTCACTTCACTTTAAGGTTTGAACAAAAGAAAAAAAATATCGCCTTATGCTCGGACGATTTCATAGTTGCTATCGGTCAACTTACAACATGAGCTAGCATGTGACGAAACAATCGATCTCCTCCCTAAAGGAGATTTAGTATCTCTGTACCACCCTATTCTTCAACTAGCTCCTACATATAGAGTGAAAGAAGCCGCTCAAGGTGTACCAATGAAGAGTGATCCGTCTACTTCCATGCGTTATTTTACCAAGTACAGACCGCAGTCAAGTACGTGGCTGCTGCAATTCGTTCAATTCCCGGTGCCTCGAAGGAGCCAATGGAGACTGTGTCTGGCCCAGATTCGTATGTCTTTTCTTTCCCTCTTTTACCGTGAAAAAGCAAAAACATAGTGAGGAATTTTCGCCGCCTCCATGATGAGTCCCGGGGATACGGATGACAACAGACAATGGGATCGGCCCAAAAAGCGGTCAGGCGATTGTTCTGTGTCGCATTGCTCCCTAAAGCCATCCACCCCGAGGGTTAGCGCCCGTCAAAGAGAGCTCGAGCGTATGCAGAATTGACAGCTGTCGAACCGGGCCGTCCCATCCCACAAACGCTCAACGGGCGAGGTTTGTGCAGTTTCGACCAAGAGAGAAGTCGGAATCCCAAAAATTTTCTTTAAAAGGTTTCTGGGACATATATCGAACATCCCAAAATTATAGGCTTTCCAAAGGCCCTCAACATAACTTATATTGCAAAGAGAAAATCCCCGGTTCGCACCGGAATGCGTCTGCAAATCCGGATTCCAACAGACTGGACAGCCTATCGGCTACTGTGTACATACATTTCAAGTGACATTTCCGTACCCGCATCGATCGATGTTATGCAGATCAAAAATGAAGAGATCCACATAGTATGTACCCCTTTCTCCCGTTTTCAGTTTGTTCGTCTGAGATAGTTGATAGATCGAAAGCGATCTAGGATGAGCCCGGGCTGGGCTTGCTTTCATAATTAGATACCTATAACGTGATTGGTTGGCAGTCCGATTGAACAGTGGGGCTGTGCCTGACGGTGCTTAGTCTTGCCATTGAGACTATTGATACTGGCTGCCTTTACCCTGCATGGAAGACCTCTCCACAAAGATCAGGGAGAAGATCTCTTTTGACAACAGGCAAGACGGGAATACACGTGACATAGATATGTACCTCAAAAGGAAAATCGAAGGCCCCTCCCCCCCCCCAAAAAGAAGGAACGAGAAAGAGAAAGAAGACCAAGGTATGGAGGACAGTGTATAGTGGGATGAGGATAAAAGCTCCCGAGTGACATTGCCTCCATCATAACCCCTCTCACTGGCTGGTTGGCTTCATCGCTAGTCTAGTTCAGATTCACCGCAAAAGCTCAGCTTCAACAAAAGGGGCTAGAAAGTCACCATAGGATTCGATTAGCAACCTTGGAATCGTGCGGGACGCACATCCGCCGGTTGGACGACCAGCTCCACCTTCAACATGTACTAGTAACAACGAACATCGACTGAATGTCTGAGTCATTAGTTGACCTGCAGACTGTCACGAGAGGATCTCATACCCTGTTTGGTTTAGTGAAGGGTCCAAGCGGACATAAAAAAAAAATTGGCGCTGAGGACATTAGTGTATTCACTAAGTAGGCGGCTGTATGTGACTCCATGTAGCAAGCTGCCCTAACCCGGGAGTGAGGGTTAAATTTCAGTCAAAAATTTGAAACCCATTCTAGAGTAGAACTCTTTCGCTTCACCTCTATTCACTTTCAAAAGAATTTGAATAGGTTTACCCAACATGTCATGACAATAAATCATTATCGGCACGGCCCGTGGGCGGGGGGCTTCGAAACTGAACGTTAGCTGACACATTCAGCCGCGCTGGGAACGGCATTGCAGGTGCCACTTGTGCAACAGTACAAAGGTACATACTGTCTAATGTGGGTGTCTCTTTGCCTACAGCTCAAAATATAGTGTGCGGTACGTTCTATGAATGCAAGTTGCTTGGACCCTAGTGGTATCTTTCCCGGTGGTGGATATACCTGTATACTCCGTACATAGAGAACGGTGTGATACCTGCAAATCTGTTAAAAAAGGTCCAAGTATCCATAAAATCTATCAGATCCATCTAAATTCATAAGATTTCATAGAAGACATAGTATGCTCGCTAATGTCGCTTATATCATTGGTGTTGTTGCGAATCTCCCTTTCACATAAGCCCATCATAACCATGACACTGCACTATGAACCTTCTTAATTGACGTGCCGATACGTGCCCTTGTGATGAACATTGTGTGGCATAAGAGGAGAAAATTGATAATGCAAGGTAGCATGTCGTCCCCTCATCATAAAAAATTTCACTGGAGCACAATTGAGCCTATGTAATGTCGGTGGTCTTATCACGTTTCATGTGCTTGAGAACATAGTCTGGGGGAAAAAGAGGTCTGTGTCCTCCTCCGAGAATATGGACAACAGGAGAAGTGGGGACTGGCATGGAGGAAAAATAATCAGGAGAAAAGTAAGATGCAGTTGCTGATGTTACCAATGCTGCCAAGAATGTCCGCGTCACCTCAGCACCCCGGCCGACTGCATCAGTCAGTAGAGTGATATAGCGGGGTGTTGGTGGGGTTGCTCAGCGGGCTCACTAAAGACAAAACTCGGGTGTCAAGAGAGACCAAAGAAGACTAGCAAGAAGAGAGCGGCAAATCCGCTCTCTTGCACTTCGTAAGACGTCAAATCTTTTGTAATATTCCCAGATTCATTCTATGGAAGTATGCATGTGGTTTGGTCTCTTCACATGTTTTCCCTTAACTATGGTTGGAGGCTATTCCTGTCACTTGAGACATCGCTGTCTAAGCACATGAAGCATTGTCAGCAACACAGCATGTGGTCCATGCTACGGACAAGATCAATCCTGATGTATTGACACGGAGGAATCTATGTTCATCCGATACAGAAATCTAGTGGCTTAGTAGTAGTGGTGTGGATATTTCCAAAAAAAAATTTTTTTTTTGGCACTGTTCATGCCCAAAATTACCAACGAGGCACACCTGTGATGAACTAGAGACAAATGGGATTCGGAAGAAGCGAGGCCACACGATATACATACCTAAGTCCAAGCGTCTCATTGAAGGTCCATTGACGAAGATGACAGAGAATGCTTGACATCTTAGCCTTTGTGATAGATCTCGATTAGACCCTGCGGGTTTGAAGATCATAAACACTACGGCAAATTTATGGTACACTTGAAAAAGGAAATTTGCGTTGCTCATGACAGAAGGACTGAAAAACAGAGAAAAAAAGCAAAGAATGTAGACAGGGGGAAAACAAAAGCAGATAGATCTCCTTCGCCATGAGGTTAACTCCGTGAAACGCCCGCCAAATACACTCTGAATTCAAATAGCAAATAAATAGCCACTTCAAAAAAACGCCTTGCCTCTAGTGTGCTCAATTCTCCACCAATAGCCCGAAATTTGGGAAGGAAAAAAAAACAGTATGCACGTCGTGTTCTCTGCGGTTTTTCATCGCTGTATCTTGTGTTCTCCCCTCCATCTCGCCTCCCCTTCCTTTGTTATGGCCTAAATTCCTTTTTTGAAGTCCCACGCTGATGATCGACCGGCAACCTCGAGTGGGTCGTGGATCCTGTTGGGGCCGGACTCTGGAGCATACCAATCATGGTCATGGCCCACGCCATATGCCGGGCCTGGTTCCGCAGTGTCAGTGAAGACCGTATTGTTGCCTAGTATCATGGGGGTGCATCCGACAACGGGGCCCATGGGGTGCTGCATCAATCTTTGCATCGCAGGAAGGCTCGTGGGACCGCATTCATGTCCGAGACGATGGTTCATGCCCATCATTTGCTGCTGATGATATGCTTCAGTGCGCTCGCTGTAGGAGATGTTCATGCTGCGTGATTTGATGACTTTGGTGGCGTGGACCCCCTTGGAATCCGACTGCTGACGTGTGGGCCCACGATGGCCTGGGTTCGTTCCTTTCTTTTGGTGCTGGAGTTTGCGGTAGCGGGTAGTTGATTGAATGCCACCGCTGTGGATGGCTTCCGGTGTCAGCTTCCAGAAGTTCACAGCTTTTTTGCCCGGTCCAACTTCTTCTTTCACTGCCTCGAACCCCTAGACTTAAGGTTAGTATTGATATCAAATATAGCAGACGTTGTCTCAAAGGTATATTGCATGTCACTGAAAGGAGAGTTATGAAAGGTGAGCGTTACCGCGTTCATTGAGAGATTATGGCGGATACTGTTCTGCCATCCCTTTGCATTCGGGTCTCCTCCCTTGTCTGTGTTCGCTTCAAACCAGGAGTAAATGCTTTGGAGTTGAAGCTTGTTTCCCGGGGCATCTTTCAAGGCCTGGTAGATGAGAACGGAATAGGGAGGGTGACCGGGACGCTCCTCTTTATTGTCGCCAGTATTTGACCGTGGTGAGAGACGGTCCGCCATCTGAGCCGTCATTGCTGGACTCGACGCAGTGAGCGAATGCGGAGAGTGGTAGGAGGAGACTTCAGAAAGTGGCGACTGCGGGGAGTCTGGGGGGGGCCGAAGCGGCTCCAACTGCGTGTAGTTGTATGGCTGATCCTTGAAGGCATGGAAGGCCTGCAAAATTGGCCAATCTGATTGACCCTCTCCGGCCTGGGGGGCCAATACCTCCGAGGATGTGCCAGTCATGATGGAGCTGGCATGAGAGCTGTAGACATCAATATATTCATCTGCATCTCTGATGAGCTCCTGAGGCAACGGGCCCAAACCATATGGCTCACCATCAGCAACACGAGGAAAGCCGTAACCATCATAATGGCGAGGAGGTGTGGGAGCTAGCTGAGATCTCCATCTCGCCCAGTCAGGTATACTGAACTGAGATGGTGCTTCTGGTTGCAAGAGGAGATCAGGCTTGGAATCCTCTTCTGAGAGCTGCACCCTGTCAAAATGATGCGAGTGGAATGAGAAATCCATGTTTGGGCAAGGCGAAGTATGGCTGTGGGGGCTACTTGATGCGTTGGATGATAGAAGAGTAGAAAGGCAAATAGAAGGGAAGCCTGAAAGTTTGGACAGAAATGTGAGAAGGCAAATGTAAAGCCTGAGAGAGGCAGATGGAGAAGGGGAGTGAGAGGGAATTAAAAGAAGAATAAGAAGGGAAAGAGAATTGACAAGAGTGCAGCCTCAGCAGCCTCAAAGGAGGTATGTGTTCAATGTAGATTAGGAGCTGTATAATTCCCAGATCCCATGCCAACACATCAGATTCTTTCTCTGCAAATAACCTCATCGACATCATCTAAACAAAAGACGGTAAAGGATTTTGGTTTTTTTTTTTTCGTGTATTATCGAAAGGTCTTCTCCGTATTTCGGAAAACGCCTTAGATGCCCAAGTCGTGCAACGGAGATTCATAGTACAGACTATGGCCAATGACCGGGAAGTCAATGTGGCTGGACCCGGTGCTACATGCTACATGCTACATACTACATGCTACATGCGACTAGAACGAATGGACTAGGTCTCCTAGAGCCAGAAGGGGATGGTCAAATGGTCAAATGGGAACCTGCAGGACAGAAGTCGCCATTCATCTACACCGGCTTTATTCCGGGCCTTCTGGAAGTTCACTGCAAGCTGGTACCGTATTCTTCCTTTTTCATCTAGTTCAATTGTTTCCTTTTTTTTTCAGAGCCTGCATCCAACCAGCCGGAAGTTAGGAATACATCCTGCTCCTGCAAGCCGCGATAGTGTCACCCAAAGGACACCCAAATTTCTTCATATTGCGAGTACCCTGGTAACAGAAATTTGTTTTTTTTTTCAAAAAAAAAAACTGACAGTTGGTGTCAATACACTAGTCTTGGCCAAGGTGAGTGGAAAGATTTCGGTTCCCCCCCCCCTAAATGGTTGGAGAGGGGAAGGGTCGGGGAAAGGTGACGAGGTCGTCAAATTTGAGAAGCGGGTGATGGGTCAAGCTTCTGATATCTCCAGATGTCAAATTCGGCTTATTCTGCGAAAATCTTGGGGGATATGTTTCCAGTCCAATCAATCCAGGGTTGGTCTGAATCTCTGGGTATCAAGTTCCTGGAAAATACACCCCCGAGCATCTCCCTGCATACACTATCAGAATCCAATCTCTCCATCCTGATCTGACGCCCATGTGGAAAACGTTGGTTGCGCATGTGTTACTTCCGGTAATAGATCTGAGACAACCGGTTAATATCATCTTTGGAAACCCCAAAATGAAAAGCGACTTACTCGTTTGAACTGGAAATGAAGTTGAAGGATTCCCTTAAAAGAATGACGTCAGGTGAGAAACAGGAGATCCTTTGATGGCACGGCATACCTTGTCAAATGTACTCTTGAAACCCCGTTCTCGTTTCGCACTATAATCCCATTCTTTGTCGACAATTCGAAAAGCAAGGTCTTCGTATGGAGGTCCAGCCATGAACCGAATGAGACAGGTGTCTTCCTCACCCGCTTCAGCCGAGGACTCGCCCCGCTTCCGACCATTCTCACGCTCAATTCGATAAGTCGGAGCTTTGGTTTTGTCAATCAAGTCGGGGTAGAAGATGTTGAATTTGTAGCCTTGTACAACCTTGGGTGGCGGGTTGTCATGGTCGTAATGGGTTTGATTGTACTTATTCCATTCGTAACCCATTTGGACTCGGTTGAAGTACCGTGGCTTTCGAGGCCGATGCTTACCGGCCCATTGAGGTTGTGAGCTCGTGCTCACGGCCTCTTCACCCGTAAAAATTTCCTCATTCTCGCTGACACCCTTGGCGAGTTCCCTTTCATATAGCGCTTTGGTCGCTTGCGAGAAGTCTTCGTTCGGGATGGACGAGAACCGCGTGGACAAAGAGGCCGCAGGGGCGTTGGTAGATGTCGGAGTGGACACTACCACGGAGGACTTCTCTGCAGCTCGGTGCCGTAGTGGGACAAAACCCATACGCATAATTTTCTGGCGTTCGCGAGCCTGTGCGATTGATTAGCATGTGGATTGGGATAAGTGAGGGGAAACCCAAGAACCTACCACTTGGCTCAAGAATGCGGTTTCATCCATGATCTCCAAGCCTTTGTCCTCCGGGAGAACCTGGAGCATTGGATCTGGATCCAGGCCTTCAAACTCGGCATGATTTGTTGTATCAACTGCAGAGACAACCGGAGCAAGAGGCGCTAATTTTTCCCGAAGTGATTCAGCTTCCTGTCTTTGCTGTCTCCTCAAGTCGCGAACACGCTCCTCAATAATAGCTTGATAGACATTTTTCAGACTTGCCCTGGCCTTCCACACCGTCAGACTGCGTAGCAGCTCTTCCCAGTAATCTGTATCGATCGGCTCATTCGAGTTCAACTTCCGTTTCACTTGTACTTCGAGATTTTGAAGCTGTTCGTAGGACTTCGGGCTTAGTAATTTGTTGATGTCAGCAGCCACGGAATTGAGTGCGCGACCCTCGGGTGTAACGGTCTTTTGACGATCTCGGCAGATGACTTTCATAGTCTGTAGGATGGACAGTGGTTAACAGGGGTGTCCAATAAACAGCAGAGTGGGGGAAAGTTACCTGCCAGAATTCACGATTCTTCGCGTTTGTCTCAAGTTTAACAAATGTGTCAATATCCTTCTCCAAGTCCTGTAGTTGGGTCTGCGATAATCCCTCAAACACCCCATCCGGGTCCACGACATCCAAATCGGAGTCTGCTATCTCATCATCCAGGGGATCACGCGTAGGATCGATAATACGGAGAGTAACAGTAAGCCAGTCGATAGGTTTTGCGCGCCCTTCCTTGACTCGAATCTCTGCCTTCTTTTTGGCCTGCTTCAGCACGAACATATCCTCCTGCGCGACCCACTCGCGCTCTTGCTGGTCTTCCTGGATCAAGTTGAGTCGGACTTGATCGCGCATGTTGCGAGACTGCTGTGAAGGACCTGATCTCTCAAGGTTCCATCTGCGATCTGAGTCTTGTCGGTTGCGCCATTCTCCATCGTCCCGACGAGGATGTTTCTGTGGCTGACGCCACGAGGACGGCGATCGCGACCTGCTGCGCTTCGAGTCTGATCGGTCAGGAAATCGTGCAGACATGGTAGAAACTGCAAGGATAAAATAAAGAGTAAGGATTAAAGTGTATGCAAGCCAAACGTACGTGATTTTGGGTGTCAAAAGCGAAGTTAGAAGTTCGGGAGATCTGCGGGAAAGTCAAGCGGGCGGCAACCCTTCCCTATGGCCCAGGCAGCTCAAGACAACTTCGGAACTTCACAACTCCGCACTGTAAATCAACAAATTGATCAAGCCATGCCCTCGAAATGGCAGCGTCTTCACTTGTCCCAGCTGCTGGGACTACCTCCTTTGCTCTTTCAGTATATCTGGACCCGAGAAGGCTATGAGATTCACATAACAGACCTCACCTACATTTGGTCAGAGCGGCTGCCCCGTAAAGCTATCACCAAGAGAGCAGAGGAAATTGCCACAACAATTGACCCTGGAGAGGACCCAGAACAACTCGATGTGCTCCTGGAGAAAATTGGAGAAGCTTTACAAAAGGGTAATGAAAGCGCACTTCTAAGTGATGGAACACAACCCGACTCCCTTGAAATTACGACAACAACCAAGCTCCCCTCCCCGTTGAAGCCTCTCATGTGGTCTTTGAAATTATCAAAGGAACCCCTCTCATCATTGACCACTATTATATTGCTTCCGTTGCTGAAGGAGGAAGCGGAGTGGGATTCCCGTCAAGGTTTGCTCTTGAGCCAAATCAAACAGAAAGACTACGTACTTGGCAAGTTGTTTGACAAACTGGAAATACTGGGCGTCGATCTAGGGTCTGTGTTTCCTAGTGCTGCAGGGTCGCGGACGTCTCACAAAGCTATTACGCGGTCTGAGGCGGGTAAACATGTCAAAGGCATTGCGCCGTTCGAGGAACAAACCTGGCTTGCTGAGACAGGAGTATCACATAAGGCGGGATTGGCCACCAACTTACTGCAAGAAATCTCAGAATCCGGTGATTCTCATGATTTAGGTACCTTTGCCCAAGCACAAGGTGAATGGTGGCATCGACTTAAGAGGTTCTCTGAAACTAGCACCAGAGAAGCCTCTCCCATCAAAAAGGAAAGTCCCAGCGACGAAAATCGAAAAAAGCCGATGGAAAACCAGCATATCAACGAAGGAGGGGATTCAACGGCAAGCAGTGATGTCGATGAGTTTCAGGTACGCTACAACTATTCCCTAATCACAAGTTATGAGTATAGCTTAACCTTGCTGATAAAGCGACAAAAAACCCCTCCTAGACTAGACTTTCAACATCAAAAAGGCAAAATCTCACCCCCCAAGCAAAAGGACAGAAAGAAAAGTCTGGTTCCGCCAGTGTTGCCTTCAGAGGAAGACGAAGCCACCGCATCAGACTCAGACTCCGAGCCAGAACCAGCACCGCACCAAAGACGTATTCCCAGCGTTTCAAGGTCGCCAGAGCCTGCCGCACCGCAGCCAAAAGCCCGAGAGGTGCCGGAAATACTAAAGGGTGGACTGGGTAAAATTGGCAGCAAAAGAAAGGAAGAGACAGAGCATCCGCCCTCGCCATCTCTCTCTCCCTCATTAGCCCTTCCTCCTCCGGCGCAAGTTCGAGAGGCACTGAAAAGGCCAAAGGGCGGATTGGGCATGATAGGCGGCAAGAAAAAGCAAGCAATAGAGCCCTCGCCTTCGCCATCGCCTTCTCCTCCAGCACAAACCAGTGACTCTACAGAATCCCAGGAACCTACAAAGTCACTAGAAGAAGAAATTATAAGTAATAATCATCTTCTCCCCATATCGTCAACACAGGTACCAGCAGCCAAAGCTAAGCGTCCTGGGAAACTTGGCATGATAGGCGGCAAGGCTAAAGCCAAAGCCTCCGAACCAGCCCGAGACAAGTCTCCGCTACCTACATCTGAAACGGTGGCCATAATACCCGAAAAGGCTATACTTGCTAAACCGAAGGCTGATGTAAAAGCTACTAAAAAAGGGGAGTCTACATTGCCCACGTCAGCAGCGAAGAAGGTTCCTTCCGCTCCACCTGCTGAGCCGGAGACTGAAGACCAGCGGGCTGATCGGAAGCGCGAGGAACTGAAAAGGTCGCTCGAGGCCAAGGGCAAAGCTCCTGCGAAGAAGAAGAGAAGGTTCTAGACGGAAGGGAGTAGAGGTTTTCTGTTTCCAGAATGTGTTCAAGTTCTTTGCCAAGCGGTCTGACGGAAAAATGCTACGTGCGTGTGTTTGACACAATCTATCTACGTAGTATCTGACAAGGGAGAGATGCACTTGAAGACTGTACATCACACGCATGTGCTCAAATCCATAGATCCATTCATGAAAGCATCGCGATTGGGGAATCAAATAAAAGAAGAATACAAGAAAGTGAAGTGAAGACGTAAAAGTAAGACACGCGCTAGTAATGGTACACTTAAAGCGCCGCGCAAGACTCAAGCTCAGCCCCTCGAAGGGGGACCCGCGCGAGCCGAGGCAACACTTTCCTTCTCTTGCTCATTCGGGGTAACAAGCCGCACCCTCTTAGGTGACATGGCGCCGGGCGAAACCGGCGCCGGAGAGGAAGTATTATTTGTCGAAGTAACCGGGCCAGCCCCACTGCCACCAGTGGCAGCGGCAATGCCAGCAACGCCCAGCATGCCGCGGACTTTCTCGACAGCCTTACTTTCACTTTTAGTCCAGGGATCCCGCTTTACGAGCCCGGCACCGGCTGACCGACTAGCAGATTCGCGACGCTTGGACTCCGCCTGCAGGGCTTGGCGGTTTAGTTCACGACGTGGGCCAGGCCCGCAGTCATGCGAGCAACCGGCGGTAGCACAGCCGCCTTCACTGGATGAGATGTCGCCGAGCCAGGTTGTGATGCAGGCTAGATGGCCGCCATGGCCGCAGCCTTGGCACCAGGTCCAAAGGGCGGAGCCTTTGAGCCGAGGTACAGTGAAGAGCTCGAAAGTCTCGATCTCCGACGCTGGGAGGGGTTCAGTGGGAGCTGAGGAATGTGCGGAATGGTTGGAAGTGGTGTCGGAGTTTGGGTCGGGACTCGTGAGGGTTGATGAAGTGGTTGGTGGATTTTGCTGCCCTGGAACCCATTCTGAGGGTGGATCAAGGCTCATGCAGATAGAGCATGGTGCTTGAGGTGTGCTGCAGCGATAACAGCGGCTGTTATCTTGCGTGGGATTTTCAAACGGTCGTTGACACACGTAGCAGTAGACGTTGATGAAGGAATCTGTTTGAGCGTACTCGTAGACGGCAGGGTATGTTGATACACAAAATAGGCGGAGCTCTGCTGCTTCCAGATCCATAGAGTGCCGAATCAGATGCTCATTGTAAGTTTTGAAGACCGTTTCGCATTCCTCATGTGGGAGAATTTGTTTGCAGTCCCGGAAAAGAATGTGCAGCTTATGGAGAAGATGAGCTGCAGCCTGGATATCGACCAAGCTGCTGCTGCTGTGATAATATCGGACCGATTCTTTTAGAATCGCTTCAATACCCCACGGGTTCAAGTCTGTTCCGTCTGGCGTGAGTGGGATCTGGACTCGCGAGATACCGCCCATTGTTGAATAAGGCAGAGTGCCAAGGCAGGGGGTTTCATCTGGTGGGAGAGGTTGCTGCTGTTTTTCAAGTGGAGTTGATTCTGTGATCAACGGGGGAGGGCTTGACGGGCGCTCCAGATGAAGTCGATCAGTCTTTAGGACGACTTGATCCAAGAGCTCATCTTCAGATTCCTCTCGCGTAGAAGCGAGAGTCGACCCTCTTCTCAGTGCTGAGGCAGATTGTCCAGCATCCAGAGATTTAAATGCCTCAAGTTGGCCAGCGGACGAGTACGACGCACCAATAGACTTGGAGGGGTGCGAACTATCGGTGGATGTAGAGAACATGGGGAAACTCTCCGAAGAATCATGCCGACCATGGCGGTCGGTACGAGGAGGCCGGTAATATTCCATTGGCGATTCAAGAGTCAATGGTTTCTTGGGAAATTGCTTGTAGTCACGGATCGCTGCACGTTTATCCTCCAGCTTTTGGTCATAGTCATCCTCGGAATTTGCCTGAGGGAATTCTGAGTGACCACGACGGCGCCAATCTGCTTTACCGGCAATTGCTCGAGGCGCAGACCGTTGCTCTATATCCAAGTCTTCTTGTACCGGATCCCATTGATATTTCGAGGAATGAGCATCATCGATCGATGGCACTCGTCCACGCGGCAGGGAGATACGGTCCGATGTCCCCCAACCATTATGATCACTCAAGACTGATGGCGGGAGAGGGTCAAGGCCGATCGGCCCATCACTCAGCGAGGGGATTTGGGAATCAGTGCTCGACCACGAGTCCTTCGGGGAATCGGGCAATGGTCGCGCAAGAGGGGTGGTCATGTTCGACGAGCTCTCAGCCTCGGGAACCGCCTCCATGACCCCCTTGAACAGCCGACTTTTGACTCTGTCCTGTCGACTATCATCTGGTCGTGGCCTATCCTTGGATGACCTGTCTTTCTGCCCACCTTTTGCTGGATAATCTCTAGCTCTACGTTGAAGTTCTTGGAGAATGGCGAATTTGACAATTCTCCAAGTCTGAGCCAATCTGGCCAGGGAGACCTCATCTGCACATTTAGCGTTATGGTCCAGTGACTCAATCAAAGAGTTCAAGACGTCTGTCTGTGTTCTATGTTCACTGTGCTCATCCATCAAGGGTGTATAGTGGCTTGCCAAATACCGAAATACTGCTGGGTCATTTGTGGCGCCCGCAATACTTGTAATAATTCCCACCTGACTAGGCATCGGGGTTGCGAGTTTGGCTAGTGCTTGTTCTAAAGGAAGCACAGGTATGAAATCCACCACTCCGGGTGGAGTACTGCCCATGGACTTAGATGGCCGAGTCGCAGCCAATTTCGTATGCTGATTCCGAAGGGAAGTGGCCAAAACGGCTTCATCAAATATTTCATCTGCAGGGCTTTGGCTTAGCGATCTTTCGCCAGTGCTATCTTCGTCTTCCTCGGGCCCTAGAAATTCGGCGGCATTGACTCCCAGAGGACGTCGCCTGGGCCGTTGTTGACTAAACGCAACAAACTCGCCACTAGGACTCCAGGCCACGGAGCACATCGGACGACGACTGGCCACCGTTGGCGCAAACCGAACGTCGGTCTGAGTAAAGGCCCCGGCCTCGCCGACCGTCCACAAAAGATCCTTAGAGCGCCAGAGAAGATCCGATGTGGGTGAGTCGTACCGATCAAACTCGCGGAATGGAAGATGTGGGCGACGGAGATCCCAAAGGTGAACACGTGGGTCTTCCTTGTCGTAGGACGTGACAACTTGAGACGATTGCCATTCTCCCGAGCCAGGAGATTCACCAACCCAAGAAGGAGGCCTCCATCGCACATTTGTGACCGCCTGGGGCGTCCGGAACTGGAATGCAGGTTTCTGCCGTCGCTCGGCAGATGAAGAAAAGTCCCAGACCTTTACCTGGCGATCCGTGCCACCACTGACAATATGCTTTCCGTCGGGGTGCCAGTCGACTGCGAAGCATGGACGATCGTGAGCGGCGATTTTCATCAGTGGGGCGTTGACCTTTCGATAATCCCACATCTGGATGGCGCCGCTGTCTGAAGCAGTTGCAAAGATTACTCCATCGTTAGGAGACCACCGGACGTCTCGGATGGCATCGCTGTTGCCCTGATACGAATGTTTGCTGCCGCATGTGGGAGATCCTCGATTTGCAGAGGCGGATCGTAGATCCCACATCCGAATGGTGCCGTCTTGACTGCCAGACAGGAGCCAAGAAGGAAGATGAGGATTAAAGGCAAGCCTATGCACCTGGCGGTTATGACCCTGGAAACGACATAATTGGAGACCGGGCCGCTGTAGGTCATAAACCACAATCCGACCATTCGCGACTGCAGTTGCAATTATCCGGTCATGATTCCCATGTGACCATTTTACATCCTTCACATTCAATTGATCCTTGTGTGGCATTGAAACACCCGCATCGTGGTGGGTAGATGCATAGCTAATGACTGCATTGCGAATGTTGAATTCCTCCGATGAGCGGTCTGGCGAGACCTGGATGGTCTTGAGAATCTCCTTGCCTGCGATAACCGCATGTGTCCGCTCAGGTGAGATGTCCAAAGCCGTGATTGCAATGCCTGTTTTGTGGGTCACAGTCTGCGGTTCTCCTGGTCTTTACAGAAAAATTCGATTAGATGACTGAAGATTCAATTGGCTCAGATGCAATTCCCCGATCACGCTAGCCCCGATGACCAAATGGCGGGGTGGTCACTGCACCAGTGGGAAAACAAATATGGAAACAGAGCAAACCATGGAAGTAGGGGGATTAGAGCGGTGTGAGAAAGCTGCAACACTTACAGTGATTTTGATCTGATCGATCGGGGGCCATTCACACGACTGCTTTGGGGACTATGTGGTCTCGAGCCCAAGAAGAAAGGTTGGGCGAATCTAGCGAGGGCATTGGCAGCGCGATTTGAGTACTTCTGTGGCGGAGGGGGAGGAGGGGGAGGAACCGGAGATTGCGAACCTGAGAGGTCCGACATCTTTTACAGCCAGGTCTCCATTATGGCACACACGACCACCGAATTGGAGGGAGAGAGAGGCGGAGAGTTGGAGGTCGTCGAAAGGCAAGCGGTGAGGGAAAGATCCCTGAGGCACCGACGATCCATGCCTTGCTGTTGTTATCTAAGGAGATTGGACACCCAACGTAGTTATCGGTACAACACAACATCATTTGTAATGTTGATATTCCTTACATATAGGGCACTAGTTACAACATAGGTAGCTGTGTTCTAGGATTTTAATTTCGGAATTTTTGGTTTGTTCTTCAACCCTTTACCTCTTGCAAGCCATCGGGCCTGAAAACACATTAGGAGCGGTCTAGAAGCCAACACATGAGAGGGATCAGATTGGAATGTGATTTTAACGAAGGGCTTTCTCCGAAGTGAACATGTCCAAAGACCAAAATACCTAGTAGGTACTATCTGTAATACCAGAATGCAATTCTGATTTGTCTTACCTTAACCGGGGCTTCGGGATGGACACAAAACACATGGAGAAGATATCCAAGGACATTCTTCGATCATTCACTTACAGACTGTGCGATTATGTACAGATACATGGAGTACTAACGACTGCGAGTACCATGATCAGTGGCCAATTAATTGAACTGCGCCCCTTCGAGTGCCACCGAAAATGACCCAAGACGCCAAGAAGAGGCAAAAATTTGAGACATTCAGCTAATCATACACATCAACGAGAAGTCCAGACAACCAATCCAAGCTGAAGGTCACACATCACGGGAAAAAGAGAGAGATTTTCGATTTCATTGCCATTGTGACTGAACTCAGATGATCCTGTTAACATTCCTTTCAGTTTGGGTTAAATTTGCCTTGGCAACTTGGTGAAGTCATTATATGTGTGGATTTGTTCTCGATCTGTCGATCAACGATCTTTTTCTTGCCCCCTGTTTTTTTTCTTTCAGGACGATTTGAACTTTGACCATTTTCGCCTTTAACTAGATTAATCACTTCGTATCAGGGCCTATCTGAACATTCTCGGAGGCAAAAAAAGTCCTAAAAGAGAACTTGGAGAAAGAAGATGTATGTTGTATGTTGTATATAAAAGAGACCTCGGAAGCTTGAGAGGACTGATGCTTGTGGATCCCTTATATTTAGCGCTGCAGGAACTTGCAATCTACACCGTCATTCCAGTGTGATTTTTATATATTTCTATATTCCCTTTCTTTTTTTTACCTCCTTTCTGGTTATCTATCTCTTGGGTTTACATTCAGCCTTGTCCGTTCAAATCCAAAAATTTTCAAGAAGAAAAGACAGAAAGTAGAGGCGAAAACAAAAACAAAAACATTCAGGGAAAAAAAACCATAATATTAAGACAAGCTATTGTATAAATTTTTTTTCGTCTTTTTTCTATGCTTTCTATTTCCAAATCTCCATAATTCAACTCTCTTAGCTTTTCCACGTGGGACTGGTTTCTCCGCTATCCTTGGAAACTTCCTCATTCCTCGCGTCGATCTTTCGTCGTCCTGTCCTTTCCGATCCGAACCCGGACTCCCTTTCTAACACTACTGTCATGGACTTGGTTTGAAACACACACACTCATTTCTGGGATATTCAGTGGGTTATGGATCCCCATGCAGCCCTTGAGCTGCTGGAATACTTACGCACCTTTTACCCAATCTTCCTTCTTATTCTCTTTGTTGTGGCCTTCGTGGCCAATACTACCATCGCTGCCAGGAAAGCCAGCAAGCATGAATCTCAAAATTTCGGACCCGGAGGGCGACCACTCCCTCAGCGAACTCGAAGAGTGCCCGCCTACCAATCCCAGTTCTCGCGGAACGTCAAACGAGTTTTCAATTTGCTCTCCGTGGCCATTCTCCTGACCTTTCTTGCGGATGCAACTATCTACATCATACATGTAATGGCAGCAAGGTCAGAGAACTGGTGGCGTGGACAGTCTTTTGTGGTATGTTTGATTCGGATGGTTTGGTATTTCTCGACAGCCGTTGACACTTGCCACAGATTTATGTCGTCGGCTCATTCTTCGTTTACGCAGTGCTGCTCATGGCAATGCTAGACACATCTCCCTCGCCTACTCTCGCCCAATTCGTCTGTTGGTCGGTCGCCATCCCCATTGAATTGGTTATCGTTAGCACCTCCCTCTCAATCTATACGTCGGTTCACCACGAGCCAGTGGTTGGAGACCCAGAAGGGGGTCGGGTCCGCAGAAGCATTACGTTTTGGGAATCCCTGGAGGTAGGATCGAACTGTGTACGCATCCTTCTTTTGTTTGCACTGGTTCTTCTCTACGCCTGTCAATCGTTCAGCATGAAGAGCCACGGGAAGACAAGCCAACGGAGGAATGAAGCGACAGAAACCACGGGACTTTTGGATTCCGCTGGCGCAGAAAATGGCAATGGAAATGAACATGGGAACGGAACTACCAATTGTCATTCGTATGGCTCGACAAACGGAGCTCCTCTCCCCGAAACTTCAAAACCCACCGATCCATGGGTGCGTCCGACGACCATTCCTTCCACTAGCTGGTGGGAGTACTTGAGCGGGTACTCGCTATTTTTTCCATACCTGTGGCCTTCCAAATCCCGCCGCCTGCAACTAGTGGTCACATTCTGTTTTGGGCTTCTCATTTGCCAACGAGCCGTGAACGTCTTAGTACCTTACCAAATAGGAGTCATCACAGGTGCTCTTACCAAAGATGACGGCGAGGACTTCCAAGTGCCATGGCTTCAAATTTGCCTATATGTGGTGTACCGATGGTTACAGGGCAGTCAGGGATTGCTCAGTTCTCTGCGCTCTAGCCTCTGGATTCCTGTGAGCCAGTATTCTTACATGGAGCTCTCTACCGCCGCTTTTGAACACGTCCATGGTCTGAGTTTAGACTTCCATCTCGGAAAAAAGACCGGCGAAGTCCTGTCCGCTCTGAGCAAGGGCAGCTCAATCAATACTTTCCTTGAGCAGGTCACCTTTCAGGTGGTGCCAATGCTTGTCGATCTTGTGATTGCGGTTGTGTTCTTTCTGGTTGCGTTCGATGTCTACTATGCTCTAGCCGTCGGGATCTCCACCTTTGGTTATCTCTATGTCACCATTCGCATGGCCCAGTGGAGAGCAGAGATCAGAAGACAGATGGTCAATGCCTCGCGACAAGAAGATGCCGTAAAGTAAGTCAGAACGAGACTATTCATCATTTACTCGAGACATATGTAGGACTGACTTCTGCTCCTTCTAGGAATGACTCCATGGTCTCATATGAGACCGTGAAATATTTCAACGCCGAACAGTACGAATTCAACCGGTACCGGGGCGCCGTGTGTGACTTCCAGAAGGCTGAATATCACGTGTTGTTCTCTCTAACACTGCTGAACACCTGTCAAAACACCGTGTTTATGATGGGCTTATTGGTAATGTGCTTTATTTGTGCATACCAAGTTGCTACTGGTCAGCGCCCTGTGGGAAAGTTCGTGTCTCTACTAGCCTACATGGTCCAACTCCAGGGTCCGCTCAATTTCTTTGGCACCTTTTATCGATCTATCCAATCCGCATTAATCAATGCCGAACGCCTGCTAGAATTGTTTCGTGAGCAGCCAACTGTGGTGGATAGCCTTCATGCGACTCCGTTGATTAAGTGCAATGGTGACATCAAGTTCGAGGATGTGGAGTTTGCTTACGATGCGCGCAAGCCCGCGTTGAACGGCCTTACCTTCCACTGCCAGCCCGGAACTACCACTGCCTTGGTTGGTGAGTCTGGCGGAGGTAAGTCCACTATCTTCCGCCTCTTGTTCAGGTTTTACAACTCCGAGAACGGGCGGATCTGCATCGACGGGCATGATGTACAGGATATCACAATCGATTCACTCCGCCAGCACATTGGCGTGGTGCCTCAGGATACTGTACTTTTCAACGAGACTTTGATGTACAACTTGAAATACGCCAACCAGGACGCTTCCGATGAAGATGTTTACGAAGCTTGCCGCGCCGCCAGCATTCACGACAAGATTCTTGCTTTCCCCGATGGCTACAACACCAAGGTCGGAGAACGTGGCTTACGGCTTAGCGGAGGCGAGAAGCAACGCGTAGCTATCGCTCGTACCATCATTAAGAACCCGCGCATTATCCTTTTAGATGAGGCAACCGCGGCTCTAGACACCGATACCGAGGAGCATATCCAAAGGGCGCTCTCTACTCTTTCACAGGGTCGCACCATGCTGGTCATCGCTCATCGTCTCAGCACCATCACTACCGCAGATCGCATCTTGGTCTTGTCAGAGGGCCAAGTGGCCGAAAGCGGCACGCATGAAGAGCTTCTGGCTATGAAGGGTCGCTATGCCAGCATGTGGCGTAAGCAGATACGCGCTCAAAAGGCTGCAGCAGAAGCTCAGGTACTTCAAGATCGGGCCGAGCGAATCCGCACTGCAACCACCAGCGACGACAGCTCCAGTCAATCAGATGAAGACCACAAGGTTGTCGGTCGCCGAAACAACTAAATCAATAATGCCTGAACCACTAAACTAGGGACAGGGAATTCCTTTTGTTTAATTTTCAACATGTGCATACGCTTTTTCATATCCTTACAAGGAAAAGTACCCATAGGCAGCAATGATCGGAGGCAGCAAGAGATCAAGTTTGATCTTTCATCTCGAGGGGTGGCGGCGTCTCTTCTTGCTTTTTTCACATTTTTCGGTGCGTTCGTTCTTCCAATAATTTTTTTTTCTTCACGTCGGCGTTTTTGGTCTACGACGCGTACGATGTTACCGTCTCTCCTTTTGTTCTTGTTTCAAATGAATCCAGGCGCAGATGGCCAGGACTGGGACTCCTGCAAAATCAAAATAGATTAATTGCTAGGCTCAATATTAATATAAGAAGAATTGAAACAACGTGGATCGTACCTAGCAGTTGACTGCTTGCAGTTCTATCTGACAGACTAGGGCTTTCAACTCAAGTCCATCCTCGGCACAAAGCCACTAATGGTTTTTATAGAATGTCCATCCGTGTTTTCTACATCCTTACTACATGTTAGTGCATGATGTGTTTGAACTCACGCAGAGGCACGCAAGTAGACGTTGATATGCACTTGTAGGCCCAGGTCTCGGGGCTGCTCTCTTCGCCAAGACCCGGGGCCAGAAAGCTTTGCTTCACGTGATGCTCACCACCATCCGAGCCACTACATCATCAGGAGGCTCCATAAAACAAAACAAACCTCAACCAGCCGCTTTATCGAACATCTTGCATCAATGCATTCACCATCGCCGCAACTCTTGCGCGTTTTGCGCACCTCTCTGGTCAATACCCGTTGCACCTCAAACTTGACTCGATTCTGCCAGATCCCATTAGCAACCGCAACACCATGCGTCGTCTCAAATCCTAGCACCGAAATGCCCTCAACACGCCGGAACTACAGCTCCCCTATCCGACCAGCCCGTATGATTCCTCGGGCGCACGCACACAAACCAGCCAGCCGTGACCGCGGCCCAGAGTCTAAAGAAGACACTCAGACCAACTTTGATTCGTTGAACGTGCTGGGCAACATCCCGGCGCCATCAACGGCTATTGACGCATGTCTCGATTCTGGGTTCCATCTTAACAATGGCGTCAAGCTTACAAACGGCGATGGGCTGTTGCTGGTCGGTGGTGAGGCATTTGCGTGGCGGCCGTGGAAGGCTATAGAGGGCGCAGAGAGCGATCTTGTCGCTAAGGATGCTATGCTCAATTCCAAAGGGCAGTTTGAGCTAGATGAATCGGTCTGGGGGTTGTTAAACCTTGTCTGGCCAAAGCCTGGTATGTTGGTTCTTCTTTCTTTCTTTTTTTGGTACCGGATATGTGCGCTCGTCTACGGATATAATATGTTTGAACTTGACCGTAAAATTGCACTTCGATTCGCTAACAGTTTCACCACAGATATGCTCATTCTTGGTCTTGGTGGCTCGACATTTCCGCTCTCACCTGAAACTAAGCGTCACATCAACTCGCTGGGCATTCGGGTGGACATTCTTGATACTCGTAATGCGGCCGCGCAGTTCAATCTGCTTGCTACAGAGCGCGGTGTTACTGAGATTGCCGCTGCCATGATTCCCATTGGGTGGAAGGCTAGACCTCTTTAAGGCAACTAGGGTTTGTCTCCAGAATGACATGTATTATTGTAGATGGCTTGATTACATCTGGCTTAAGCTGATTCAAAAAATGAAGCAATTCTTCTCCTTATATTCCTCGGTTACACCAAAGGGCAGATGTAGTTCTTACATGTTGCATCGTTACAAGTTACCCAACCTCTAGGGTCGTGATGCAGGAACGTGACGTCGGGTATCATGTGAGCCCTGTTATCGTATCCTTATCTCCTCACCTCCGCCTCCCAGGGATCGGGGTCCACGTGAGTCAACATAACCTTCCAAGGGAAGGTCGCAATCGAAGTTCTCGACCTCCTCAACCTGTCTTCGCTCTTTTCCAGTTTTGTTTTAATATTAGAAATGGCGCGGGAAGAGTCCCTCCTACCTCCGCGGCTGTCCGATGACGGCTTGTCGATTCGAAATGAAGAAGAGGACTACGCTCTTCTAACCGGCGAGCGAACGGCCCCTCAAAACAAGCGACGAGTCTGGCCTTCCTGGCGGGAAATTGGAGTGTTTTCCTGGGCCCTTGTTGCAACAATTCTGGTAATTGTGCTGGCCGTGATCTACCCACGCAAGTCGGCAGAGCCTCACGACCACTACGCGTCAAACACAACCTGGGGTCCTGGAGGCAAGCCGACGGGCAAGCGGAACATGATATTCATGGTGTCTGACGGCATGGGACCTACGAGTCTCTCGCTGACTCGAGGCTTTCGGCAATACACGGATGATCTGCCATTCGAAGACGTTCTGGTCTTGGATAAGCATTACATCGGAACCTCGCGAACACGGTCAAGCTCTAGCTTGGTGACAGACTCCGCGGCTGGAGCGACGGCCTTTTCGTGCGGCCGCAAGAGCTACAACTCTGCCATTTCAGTGCTTCCCGACCACTCGCCTTGTGGGACTGTGCTCGAGGCGGCTGCGTTGGCGGGTTATAAGACAGGCCTGGTTGTGACCACCCGCCTGACGGATGCGACCCCAGCATGCTTTGCTGCGCATGCCAATTTGCGGAACTACGAAGATCTGATCGCCGCCCAAGAAGTTGGAGAACACCCTCTCGGTCGGGTGGTAGACCTTCTGCTTGGCGGTGGGCGGTGCCATTTCTTGCCCAACTCACAGGATGGCAGCTGTCGTGGTGATGATCATGATTTGATCAAGGTCGCTGCCCAGAATGGGTTTGGTTATATCAATGACCGTGCGGGCTTCGATAGCCTCCAGGGCGGCGATAATGCCACTTTACCACTGCTAGGTCTCTTTGCTAGCGGGGACATCCCGTTCGAAATTGATCGACGCACTCAAAACGAGACCTATCCCTCTCTGGAGGAGATGACTCGCACGGCCTTGAAGGCCTTGAGCAAGGCCACCGAGGACAGCGAGCATGGGTTCTTTGTCATGATCGAGGGCTCTCGCATCGACCATGCTGGTCATGGTAATGACCCTGCCGCTCAGGTTCACGAAGTACTAGCATACGATAGGGCCTTTGCTGCCGCGCTCGAGTTCCTAGAGAATGACTCCACTCCTGGTGTGATTGTGAGCACATCTGACCACGAGACTGGCGGTCTTTCCGCAGCACGGCAGTTGCACAAGACCTACCCTGAGTACTTGTGGCTTCCGAGTGTTCTGGACAAGGCAAGCCACTCTGCCGAATACCTTGCCGCTCGGCTAGAAGAATATCTTTCTGGGCCAGGCAAGGACGCCAAGGATCCGGCTAAACAGTCTTGGGTCCGGCAAAGTCTTAAGGATGGGCTTGCTATTGATGATGCTACAGACCATGAAGTAGATGCCCTGCTCCACCCGGCCCCCAACGTCACCCCGTCATACGTGTTTGCGGACATGATCAGTCGCCGCGCCCAGGTTGGCTGGAGCACTCATGGACATTCTGGTAAGAAAGTCTCGACTAGTGAATGACAGTATGCTAATTTTGTTATAGCTGTCGACGTCAATATCTACGCGTCTTCTACCAAAGACGCTTGGCCATTGGTTGGCAACCAGGAAAACACCGACGTGGGAGACTTCCTTGCTGACTATCTTGATCTCAATGTCGACAAGGTCACGAAGTTGCTGCAGGACACCAAGTCTGGAACCTCGCCATCATATGACTGGATGGGTGATCCCCTTGGCTTGAACTTCCATACCGAGGGATTAGACACTTACCATGGAGACTTCAGGAAGCGATCTATCGATGAGTGTGGATGTGGGGCTGCCCACTAAATGACAGCCACAACTGGACACTTTTTCTATTTTGTTGAATTTCTGTATGAGTCGGCTCTATGAATATTTCGGGGTTTATCATCATTGAATATATGCAATTCAGATGTTTCATTTCCTCGACCATCCGCCTACAGCTGACCCTATTTTTGCTAGAAACAAAAGTTCATATCTTTTCGGGGCTAATCCCCCCCGCTTCAGTGCTGCCCAACACATCGTCTTCAATAGATATACATGTGAGTTCAACATCAATCGCTTTTATCTCCATATCCACATTGTAACGAAAAGACTGTTCGTCATCACAATCCCTTCGCGTTACAATCGGGGCAACTCTGCACTAAATCCATCGTCTGGTGCACAATGTTACTCTCCGAAAACACACCCAGATTTTTCATATCCGAATGACGGGCAGTTGGTATCATGGTGATTGTGTATGGGTGGCAGGTGGGACAATCAGGGTCAAACGGCAAATCGTAGTTTTTGAGCTGGTCTGGGTCGTTGATACGGTTCAGTTGGCGGAGAATCTCGTGGCAAAAGAGATAGAGCTCGAAGCACGTATGATTGCATTTGAAGTAGTGAGTCTCCATAAAGAGGCACATCCTGACCCAACTCGTGTGGATGCCACACGAGGCTGATTGCTCTCTGTGTCCGTCTGACTTGAGAGACTCTTTCTTTTGTGTCAGTGCAGCTCGAGATAGAATGCCTGTTTGCGCTCAGTGCTGGTTGTATCCCCCCCCCTCCGTGAATCTCGGGTGGCTAGTTGATTATGATTGTGGGCGTGAAGTCAGGTATGAGGTGTTGGCGTAAGACAAGCCAGGATGACTTTTACTAGAGATGTAGTCAACCTGTGGGGTTGAGTGAGATTGAGCGTATCTAAATATGAGAAATTGGAATTTCGTTTATGAAGAAAAGGGCATTGCACAGTAATAAAGTAATACTGCCATGTATAGATCATAGTGAATAAAGCCAGGGTATATAATGCAGCTACACTGAAGCAAGAGTGAGCTCAAGATCAGGCCTTGTATGTTGCTACCCTGCTCACTTCGTTCAAGAGAGAATTAAGCATCTATATGGTATTGGTCATGTAACTCCTTGTTTGATGTCAATGCTATCTAGTGTAAACTAAGTGGGTTACAAGATGCCGAGAATGAACAATGGAATCATTGTGGGAGGAAGCATAGTGAGATAAAAGAAAGAATGAGGTTAAAGCTTATCGGACAAAGCAAAAACTAAATAGCACAAACTGTGATGGACTTCAATGCTCTTATCCGTGGACATCCAGAGCGTTATATTCAGGAAAAGCACGCAGGCTAGCTTACCTGTCTTGCTCAACTCATTGCCATACCGCGTGGTCCCAATTCTCATGTCGAGGCCAGTGAAGTTCATCAGCAAGCATTACCGTGATTAATATCTATGTAGCTATCCCCAGCTGTACACAGAAAAGTCTCTCTTTGAAACTGAGAAGGGCAACATGTTTGTGAAAATAATGACTTTACGAAAAAATAAACAAGAAGATGCTTTCAAGGCCGCAAACACGGCCGATTTTTCTTGCATACCGGAATAAGGATGAAAAGACTAAATGTTTTTTTTAGCCATCTCTCACTGTAACATAGTCATTATGCCTCTTATATGATACAACCATTGAATTGCATTTCCACTGAATTGCCAAAGGTATTGAGCTAGAGGCGTCTCTTTAGCATCCCCTGACGAACAGGCATGTTCTCATCCCAGATTCACCAGTCTAAATCAGACATGCGCAAATCAGGTTGTTTCATCCCAGTTAGAATATTCGAGGGTTAGAGTTGTAAATTCAGACTAAACAATTCAATGTCTACCTGCGTTGTTTGCTTACGCGTTTTGCTTTCTCGCTGTTCGTTCACATGCAGATAGCCTTTACCTCGCTCAATCACTTTCCTCTATTGTCACTCATTTCGATTGAACAGTTTCTCGATATCATCAGTAAGATCATGCTCCATCAGCTATTTTGCACCATCTATCTCCCGTGTCTCTCTCCATTGAAAGGCCCAAGAAACGTGATTTTCAGAGATTTGCTTTTTGAAACTCATCACAGGGGCTCTTGCATTTTCCGCTCCAAATGTTGACCGAGATGCTCCGCTACCAGGATGGCTCTATTGACAAAGGGTAGATTTTGCCTTTGGCTCCTGACTGTGATGTTCGATGGTGACTACGGGATCAGAGTTGACCACGTTTCTGATATCGGGTTCATTCCAACTGTAGACAAGATGGCCCCATCAGCTTGGCGAGAGCAGCTTCCTGAGATAACTGCGGCATCTGGCCCTACGCCTCAATGATAAAATCACTTGTGCATGAGCAACGCACATTGCGCCTTCATCGGCGCCATGATGATTCTCCGCGCAGCCACCAATATCCCTGCAAACACCGAGCTGAGAATCCGGTACTTCCCTCCAGCTCTGAAAACCAGCACATGGACCTCCGCCACTGGGGCTTTGAGTGCTGCTCCACCTTGTGCGCCGACGTCGAGGTAACTGAGCCCCGGATTCTCAAGACGTGGGCTAGACAGCGCACAGAGATCACTATGGAACCATAAAATAGCAGCTGCAGGCGCACCGAGACGCTCATTAAGCATCTGGCTGAGACATATCCGCGCCCGCTGGAGCAGGCGCTGCGTCTGGGGCTGTGGGAGCCGTCTACTTTGATTGCCGGGGCTTATGACAGCTTGAAGCAGCAGGGTGAAGCTAGGGAGGCTATGAATGGGGCTCTCACGGCGATTGGAATTATGCTCGACGGAGGTGTGGATGGGCTGCTTGTGGTTAAGAAATCGGATCTGGCTATGGAAAATCTTCTGTTAGTATGAATGATTCTTTCAAAGTCTTTGCTTGCACTAGCGTCGGAGAGGGTGATGCAGGCAGAAAGGTACGCCCGCATGGCTCACTTGATTTGTGATGGAGAGAACGCGAGCTTTGATGCAACCTATGGAATGAGCTTGAAGGTGGCTCACGAGGCGTGGGGGGGGGGGGGGGGGGTAAATCCAAATGGAAGGAAGGGCAGTTTAGGGCTAATGGGGTTGTGTGTACTAAACGGCAAAGAGATTACCCATGTACCTATGTAGCACATGAAGGTAACAATAAATCCACGGATACTCACATGGAAGTAAGAAATGAGTACTGAGTTATAATATATGCACGATGTACTTGCATGTGCAAACACAAATGCCCCGCTTAATAATCCCACATGGCAGTAGTTCTAGCAGAGTACAATACCAGTCCACAGGTGGTTAGCTGACATTCTGTACTTTTTCTTCAAGTTCTCAATCTAGTCCTAACCCGGTTCTAGGGCTTTGGCATTGGCAGACGTAGTCTAGCAGGTGTGTGGATCCCTGGGGAGTCCCGTTCCCGTCTGACACTTTGACACTCTCCACCTTTCTTCCCTTGACAGTTTTGCCTTTCAACATTGGGAAAAGGGTCAAGATCGCGAAAATGGAGCCAATCGCGGTGGTAAGTGGTGGTTTCATCATCTGATGTGGTCTTTCTCACCTTTCGTCTAGGATCCTGATCTCTATTCTATGGTCACCGACTATGGCATGGATGCGCATGACCTTCAGTCGTGAGTGCCACTGTGAATCATTTCTATGGTGGTATTCTCACAGTATCTAGGGATACCACATCTATCGCATCCGCGATCGCGAGGGGACGACTGGAAAACGGTCGAAGGTCAGTACTCTTCCAGTCTAAGGTCATCTTCTAAGACTAACCCGGTATATAGATACCAAGCCATCAAAGAAGATGACTACTGGTGAGTTGTAATGCAACGACCTTGCTTTACCTAACTTAACAAGGTCAAGGGGTCCTTCTGACGAGCAGCAATTCGAGGCATTCGAGATTGGGTAAAACCGCACCCCATTCCCATGTCCTTTTTCATTCTCACTAACTAGGAGCTCTGTAATATTAACAAACTTAGCCATTTGATGTTTCTCGTGCTAGAACACGAAAAAACGAATCCTCTTTTCAGCGCCCCTATCGGTGGTTCGCCCAAGGTGAATCTGCACCGAGGCGATCCTGGCTTGAACGTTCCTCTAACCATGCAGTATAGAATATTTTAGACATCGGAACTGGCCAAGGGAGTTGGGCGATGTAAGCCAATGGCTTACTGCTGTTCAAAAGAACCCTCTAACAGGTTATTAGTGACGTAGCCGATCGCTACCCGTTCGGTACTGGAATCCTTGATTCGACTCCTTCTATTGTTGAGTTCAGTGGCTGAAACCAATTAGCTACTGTCCGCGGAGTGGATATCTTCCCCCCACCTGTGTCATGGATGCCCCCAAACTGCATCTTCGAGGTGGATGATGTGCTTCGCGAGTGGACATGGAGAGAGCCATTTGACTTTATCCACATGCGCCTAATGTATGGTGCATTCCCTCCCGAGGGGTGGCACCAACTATACAAACAGGCCTACGAGTGAGTTTCAATTCCCATTCATAGATTTGCCAAGACACAGTACCCTCATTTTCGTTCTAATTCGCAATAGCGCCCTGGAACCTGGTGGCTGGATCGAACAAATGGAACTAGATGTGCGAGTCTACAGCGATGACGGTACCTTGAAGAAAGAGCACCAGCTTGATGGGTGGGGCGCGATGTTTATCAGATGCTCGGAGCGAGCTGGACGGTCGCTCAGAACCCACGAAACGATGCGCAGGGCAATCGAGGAAGCTGGGTTCGTGGACGTGCACGAAGAACGGTACAAGATTCCCATCGGACCTTGGGCTAGGGATACGACCCTGAAGGAGGCCGGACACCTCCAGCATGGCCACTGGAACGCCGGTCTAGAAGGTTGGGCGATGTGGCTTCTCACTCACTTTGGGGAACCGGAGCCGTGGACCAAGGAGGAGGTGCAGCTGTATCTGGCTAAAGTGCGCAAAGAGCTGAACAATCCGCATATTCACGCTTATGAACCTGCGTAGGGTTTCTTCCGAATCGCGTTGCTGCTCTGTTTCGTGCTGATACATTTTTAGGAACCGCGTGTGGGCAAGAAAGCCTACCAACGAGGAATTAGAAGCGAAAGAGGCAAAAATCAAGGTCGAGACATCGCTGTAAAGCTGTTTCGAATCTTCTTAGGTGCAGATGGTCTTTTTGGCGTCCATTCAAGTCCAGAAGCGAAGCTTTCCATCGTTACCAGCTCTTTTCTGTGATCTTTGCTTCAGCCCGTACCTTCCACATCTAGGCTTATATGTTCAGGAACTTGCTTTAAACTGGAAAGGGAAAGCCATGGGGCGCGGTGTAAAGTCTGGTATGTTCGAACAAAAAGTCACAATCTTGTAGTTATTATCCACTCATGTGAAGGGAATCACAAGGCTTTACCAGAGCAGCGGCAAAACGCATAGGAAAGAAAGTGACAGAGTATGAATCGGCCAAAAGAAAACACAAGTCGGTGCATATCGAACAGACATGGAGGAAAAATGCAGATGCGTATGTAGTCAACCGTTGAACATCACGACCTTATAAAGGGGGGGGAGGGAAAAGATTCAAGGAACAAACTTATTCATTAGGTAATTTGTTCAAGGTCAGTCAGAGATAGACACAAAGCGAAGTCGCAAAGTAGTCAACAAAAAATGTACCCAAAGCCGAGCAACAAGCATGGCAAGAAAGAAGAATAAAAGAAAGGTAGAACGCTGATATATGTACCTATCCAGCAAAACATTTACAGTGCCACAAGGACAACAAGAGCCACCAGAACGCCGAAGAGCGAGCCACGGAGGACACGCTCGTTCTGGCTGGCTGCACCGTTGCCCTGGGTGGGGGTACCCTGGGTGAAGCCAGTAGTGGAAGTCTCCGAGGCATCGGTGGTGGAAGTGCCCGAGCCCGAGCTAGAGCCCGAGCTAGACTCATGAGAGGAAGTGCTGTTGCTAGTCATGCCACCAGAGCCACCCTTGCTGGCGGGGATGCTGTTGGACGCAGTGGATGAAGAGCTGGAAGAGCCTGACTTGTGAGCGCCGAGATCCATGTCGAGACCGGTAGCGCCGAGGGAGGCAAGGACGGTGTTGTTGTTGGTGATGGAGAGATCGTTCTCCATGGCAGCGGAGTTGGTGTAGATGTAGGCCTTGCTGCCTTTCTTGGTGGCATCGGCGGGAGGGTCGTAGCACTGCACGCTGACCTCGCCGACGGTAGCATAGTCGTACCCGACGGTCTTGATGTCCTCGCTGTCCCAGTCGATATCACCGCCAGCCCAGTTGATGGTGCCTTGGGCGTTGCTGGCCTGGCCGGCGGGCCAGAGCGACATTTGAAGGCGGGAGGGTGTCTGGGGGAACTGGTACTGCTTGGAGGTCGCGTTGTAGGTGTCGGCCTTGTTCAAAGTACGGTGCACAACGCCGTCAACGATCCAGTCCACCTTCTCAGGGGTCCAGTCGATCTCGTAAGTGTGCCAGTCATTAAAGGTATCCTCACCGTTCACGGTGATATTGGCGCTGTTGTGCCCTAGTTCATCAAGTCAGCATTGATTATTCGGATCAAACCTTTTCTCCGCTATTTTTTTTTCTCGACTTACAGTCTAGAACACCCTGCCAGTAGTAGTTGGTCTGCACGGCGGTCAAATCGGCCCCGACCCACTCGTAATCGATCTCATCTTTAACATCGGACAGAAGAATGAAAGCGGTCACAACACCCTTGCCGCGGGAGCTCTTGATCTTTCCAGAAATCTTGCCGTACCAGACGTAGTGGTTGTTGGCAAAAAGAGTGCCAACACTGTTGGCGGGCATAGTCATAATCAGATTGCCATTCTCGGTCTTGACTTTTCCACTGTAGGTCCAGTCAACAGCGCTGGCATTACCCAGGTACTTGTCTTGGGTGATGGAATTGTCGAGGTTATCCCAGGTGTAAGTCTTGCTCTCGCAGACGGGCATAGGCGCGCAGGAATCGAGAGAGAACGAGGCAACAGGATCGCAGCCGCCGAGACAATAGGCGCCAGTACCACACTCACCATATTCTGTATTGCATAATTCGGTTAGTAGAAATTGCAATGTTGGGGGGGTAGCGTTACTCACGGGAGCAGCATGGGTATTTCTCGTTGCACTGGCTGCTGGAGCTGCAGGATTGGGCGGCGAAGGCGGACACTGACAGTGAGGCCAGGACCAAAGGTGTCACAAAGCGAACCATTATTATGTACTGTTGGTATGTACAGTGGAAATGACAGAATGCCTAAGAATTTGAATCCAAGCCACAGACAACGAGGGAAAGTGTGGGGAAGCCAAAAAAAAATAGGGGGGAGGGGGAAACAATGTAAGTTAGATGTGTATAAAATGAGAGGCAGCAAGTGAAGATAAATTCACTGCAAGAACGATATCACTGAACGAAAGCAGTTCGACTGGAAAGAGAATGAAAACGGAGGGAGGCGAATAGTTATTAATGCGATTAACCACCCTCCCCCCCTCCCTCTACTCTGAAAACATGAAATTCACAACTAACCCAATCAGGATGGACTCCGTTAAACTTGGTAAGGTCCATGGGTCGGACTAGAAGCGTAACCCGGGAAGGAGTTTGATTGGCTGCTTTATAGTTATTTTTAATTCTTTTGTGGAGAGGCTCGGGGGATTTCCGTCTGTGCGTGGTTTTGAGTGAGTTTGAATTGTATTGGGTGGTAATGGATGGTATTTTATTTCAATGGTCACTTTAGGGGTCACATCTGAACAGCTAATTATCTTCCCCTAAAAGCCTCATCAATAGCAAATGAGAAAAGATAGAAGTTTCGGCAAGGTAGTCTGACTACGTTTACCAGCATTAGCCAAATTAAACTATCCAATCTTGCTCAAAATACACACAAGTCTACGTGTTATATAACCCAGGTGGTAATCGGAAATTGGTAATGGGATATAATACTCCGTACCAGCGCGATTGGTACTGTCCGCTTGCCCTTCTGCGGAGATAACACTTTCCATTGATCGGCAAACAGTTCATGCAATGTCTACTCCGTACTCCGTACTCCATACTCTGTACAAGAATCAATTGATAGTGTTGTACTCCATACAATGTACTATAAGTAGTGCGGAGTACTCCGTACAATTTGCTGCTTTGTGCGATGTAGATTGTACGTTGTGCACTTTGATACCCCCTTTAAATTGGACCTCCGAACATCCGTTCTCTGGACGTCACAAGCCGAACCAATTAGGCCGGCCAAAAATAAATATGGCCACTAGGACAAAGAATCGGAATCAGCCCCAAATTTCGATAATCGTAACCCACGCGCGAATCTCGCATAGGCTGCCATACACTTCCTCTCTCGACGCGCTCGGCACCAAGTACCCGTACACCCAATTCCGCACTAGGAAGCACTCTTTCGCCCCTAACACTAACACTACCTAAGACTGGAGTGAATCTCCTCTCTCCTGCTAGTAAAATGTCGATCCAACACTTTCTGACCTTATCTGCCTCGGTTGTTAATCAGTCACCAGACACACAAAGAAATGAACACACCAATCACTGGGCAGGGACGCACGTCGCTAGTGTCTGGCACAGGCATAAAATGATAGATCTGGATTTATCTGCTCTCTCGTTTTCGGTCATGCGTGGCTAGGCGCGGCGATAATAGGGGGGGGATATACTGACAACGGATAAGCATACCCCTTGGCCAACCGATTGTTTTCAGGAGGTATCCTTCTAGAAAGAATGCGGCAACCTTTTGGTCTACAAACTACGCACACGTCATTAGATCTGCTCCGTATGACATCTCAAATTCTATGATATACACTTGGAAGTCAAGGGATGTGCCACGGGGCAATGTAAGGAGATCTGATTATCGGTTGCTTTTGCCACATTCAAACTGGGTTTAATTGGACTGCATCGTATGATAACGTTACTCGATAAAAGAGTACTACCTCTTATGGCTGTAAAGAATGACTTCTCCCAGAGCACACACGCACGCACTGGAAACACTAACTATGCTAGGTCAAAATACACAGTGAGCGGACAAAAATAGAAATCAAATCTGCTCCACTACCATGAACAACCCTAGGTTCATTGATCACTGTTTGGTAGGATCAACCCACTTCCAGTGGGCCTGTTTGTTCGTCGTAAACAATTTTCCATGCTTCCATGGTGGCCACAATACCTGGTAACAATTCAATGACTGTTGAATCTTCTTCGAAGCCCACAAGTACCCCCTCCGATGGTACTGTGGTTGTAATAACTGGCGAGCTTGATGACACTCGTCTCGTCTTCCACACAAATTGAGGTGTGAAAGTCTTCAAAAGTGAGACTCGAGGTAGATCAGGTCGGTATATTCTGGATGTTCCCGGCGCTACTCGCGCAAATCTGAGTCTGGCTCCCCTGCGTTGGCTGGGGCCTGGGATTGCCATAACTGGGCCCACGGGGGAATCGGCCACCCTCAGGGTGATCATCACGTCTCGGGCCTGTTCTTGGTAGCTACTAGAGATCACATTAACATTCCAGTGAAGGTGTGTTGAGCTTGTACAAATCACTTACAGAGGGGGGAAGGTGTGCCGAAGGGGGCGAGAGTCGAAGACGACTCTCTTCGAGAACCACAACAAGGGTGCCTTCCATCTGACGAAACTCGGCGCTCAACTCAGCCTCGTCATTTTTGATGAGCTGTTGGCTGAAGAATGTTCACACGACTGGTGAGACCAATGCTGCTATCATGGTCCGACTCACCAATTGGTGGCTCTCGTGGACCAGAGATTGAGCTTTGGTTACTTTTCTCATGATTTGCTGGGTCCAATGGGCCATCGGTTCATGCTTGTAGGGCATTGTGCCGAGAAATAAGAAGAATATGAAGCCGAAAGCACAGGCATCTGACTGCTTAGTCGTCAAGTGGAATGTATAGCAGGCGGCTGAGAAGTAAAAAGATTAGGGAGTGAGATGAATACGAGCAAACGAACGAGAGATTAAATGATGAAATGAGATGACACTACCCAACGTAGTGAAGCGGGTTTCTATGCAAAGATGGATGAAAGTTGAAAATAGCGATAGGCGTAAGATCGTCGTTTTTGTTGGAGATGAAGCAGGCCGGAGATGATGTAATTTATAGGCTTTGATGTTAAGAGAAGGCAGAATTGTCAACAGAGGGCTGGAATAGGAATGTGGATCATTCTGGTGTGTAATATAAAATTCCTGTGTGTCTCCAAGGTCGTAACTCAGAGCTATCAAAATTCCAGTAGCGCTTTCACGTCAACGGGGAGGAAAGAGATTCCAGGCCAAAAGAACAGGACACCGTAAGGTGATCACCATTTGAGCAGGAGTTACGATAGGGACATAGACATAGTCTAGATTTCTTTCTATGAAATGGCAATGGCAATGAGACCAATGGGCCGAGGAGTAAAATAGGCATTCCCTGGGTCTTCCCTCACCCTCTCCCCAACCATCACCCTCGAACTATCGCATTTATTCAACTCTCAGCAAAAACTTCTATGACTACATAATTCAATCGCAATTCCTCACTCTTCATTCCCTTCGACGTCTTCTAACCGAGGGCTTCAACGTCTTGCTGCAGTTTCTTAGCACTGAGCAGCCAGCACCTACACGTCTTGATCTTCTCACTACAGCTTTACTTTCACATCACATCGGATTTTTCTCTACAATGGCTGCTCGAACGCTGGACAGAATGCGCAAGGCTCAGTCCCTGCTTCGCGAATGTCATGACTGGGTAAGTAACATCTACTTTCGTCAGTTTCACTTCAAATCTCACACTGACTTTATTGACAAACAGCTTGTGAAAAACAATGAGATGCTGCTGGCAGTTGGAATGTGCCAAATCGAAGGAAAACTCGCACTTTTCTTTGAGAAAAGATGTTTCGCCAATTCCCCCTGTCCTGGACTTCAAGAGGGGGAGCTTCCCCGCCTTGTGAGTACTCAGTGCTAGATGACAGACGAACTTGGTTTTGAATGCTGACATTGTGTCACCGACAGCCCCGCTTCGATGGCTACAGGCGCAGAGACCGCCACGGATCCTACAACGGGTACCGCAGAGCCCATCTAACCAACAGGAGCGGGACTGAAGCCCCCGCCAGTCGCGCCAGTGGCGGACAAAAAGTGCGGACTCAGGCAACAGCAAGTACCGCTAGGGTCAATGTGACTGACTTGACCTGCCCGGATGCCGATTCCAAGCTGCCTCGAGCTCCAGCTGCCATGAACAGAGCATCGCCGCCAAGCGGCGTGCTTTTGGATTTTGACAATGACATGGAATTCGTCCAACTGCCGCCCAACATGGTAGCCAACACGAAGACAGCACAGACAGCCGATGTCATATCAAAGGGAAAGCAGCAATTATCAAAGCCATCCGCTGTTGTAGGCAGCGAGGAGCTAGCTTCGGGGGTCTCGGTCCGGGTGGAGGGTGACGATAAATCCCTTCACCAGACCAATGCTACTGCGGCCCATGCCGCCTCAGCAGGTCTGGACACCGCCGTTGGCGGTTACTATCCCCCCCCGGTGGTTGAAGAAGGTGTTGTCCCAGTCCCACCCCAACCACAGTTGCCAGATTTACTCACGTCCGGCTCCTTTGAGAGCGCATCGCCTCATACATTGCAAACCACCGACAACCAAAAGGGCAATTCCATGAATTGCGAGGAGGTCCCTATGTCAGCGGTCACAAGAGACGGAGGCATGTTGATTGATCTTGACGATGACCTGGCCGTGATTCTTCCCGTTCGGACCAACGCAGACACCGGCAGCGCTTCTCATTCAGGAGAAAACGATGTGCTTGCATCTGGCCTTGATTCTGGGGTCAAGCAGAATTCTCAACCAGAGGATTTGGAAGAAGATCAAATCGTTTTCCAGGGAAACGCAGCAAAGGAAATCTGACCGAATTTCAAAGCCACGTTTGTTTGTTCAGACGATGACTCTCAACCGGCTCATCGTACTCTTGATCTCAAAACAATCTTTGAGAAACATTCCGAAGTGGACATTTGAAGAAGGCCATTTTCTGGTTTGTTTCGTTTCGTTTCCAATCTACATGGGGTTCTGCATTTTGTTTTCCCCCCTCCCGTATCTGAAATTTGAAGGCCGAAAAAACCACGTTAGCGTGCTCTTGAGGGTTTCTCTTCCGTGATTTCTAGCGGGAAAAGTTTGCTTTCTGCTCTTTTTTTTTAATTTTGACTCGTTGCTTATGTTGCTCCAAGCTACCTTTCAATATCAAGGTGCTCATGGGAGGGACTTTCCATGATTTCCATGGCTAATTGTGATGAAGATCAGATTCTTGTTCACGTGGTCCTCGTCGTATTTTTTTTCTTTTCGCTGTTTCTTTTCTGGTAGCTTGCATTTTTCAGGAGACTCGTCAGTCATATATAGGGGGTTGTGTTTGGCGATGTAGATCAATTGGTCCAACCCAAATTCACCAACGTTGGTTCCTGTAGGATCACGGAGTAGAAATAGTGGAAACGATGTGAACTAACAGCGAGAAGATCGTCAAACGATCACCCGAAACAGCATAATACGGACAGAGAGAAAAGAAATCCAGGCCTTGTGAGATACATAGAAGTCGAAGACACAGTATAGACAACAGGCTGAGTGCGCCATATATCAAAACAAACACCATTGTATGTAAATGGACGGGTGTAGTTGATGCCTGTTCTTTTTCAAGCCAGCTTAGGGTGGATGGCAATGAAATGTCATATGTGTCTATAGAAAAAGCACGTGGTTCTTCGTCAAGAAGCTCAGAGTTCCGCCAGGCTGGAAACGTCAATATAATTTGGGCAACGACCACACCAAGTAGGATAGCCACTGGATAGATAGAAAGAGCATGATGACGATAAAGAAGGTACATCAAAGCATAATGCCACGAACCATTGGGCTCTTTGTCTTTCTCTTATTAAACGCTCATTCACGACCTCAAATGGGCTGAGACAAGGCCGTATGAAGGGTGTTATCAAAGAAAAGAGACGACAAAGGCAAAGGCACCATTACAGGCGCCATGAAGACAATTCTTGGGCTATAAGTTGAAGATTCTCATGACTTGCAAGTCTAGGCATGTAGAATTTACATGTAATGCGGTTACACGTAACATAGAAACCGCGCGTTGCCTCTAGAGAGAGAGAGAGCGAGACCTCAAAAGTTGCAAGTCCTTCGGCTTTATAGTCAGACAAATTTCTATGGTTACGTTTGAATACACCGGAATTCGATAGTATCAAGGACCTAAGATATGGCAAGAAATGTGGATCCAATCAGATAGATATGCAGTGCAGCATTATATCGTAAAATTCGACAGAAGCTACTCCAAAGAGCATTGGTTATTAAGGAAAAGAAACAAACACCACGAAACGCGCAGATGTCTTCAGTCTTTGAACTCCGGCTATGCTTGACCCGCCCACGGGCTAGACTCCCCTCTCCCTCGCCACCCCAAATTTAAAAAAACAAGAACCTGCAGCCTGACGCGAGAAAAAGGGAATTCGAAAGCGAAAAAGATTGTCCTGATAAATTCAAACGCCGAGATTAGCAAACGATGGCAAAGCAGAAATTTGAAAACAGTAGGCTTATTTTCAATAACCAAGTTCTTTAATAGAGGCATACATTATGTGTTGATAAATGTATCATGCAACTTGGAGGGCAGGCGTCGTCGTAGTGGAAAAAAAAAGAAACGGCATAGAAACCAGGGTAGGGGTGTGTAACGAAAAGGTCAAGCTTCGTGTGTGTTGCTTGTTCATCGAGAAAACTTTTGGTTCGGGGCGACAGTTTTAAATTCGACTCTCGGCTCGTAGTGGACAGTGCCACCGTCCTCAAGCCAGGGTCCGAGATTCTTGCATTGGCTGACATCAAAAACCTGGAGTTGATGGCAGCCCTCCGCAACAGCCTCAACGCCCACTCCAGTGACTCGAACACAGCCACGGACCGATAAATATTGAAGAGAAAGTAGGTGAAGACCGATGCTCCGTAGAGAGGGGTCGGAAATTGCAGAGCCACAGAACGCCATATTGAGATACTTCAAATGTGAGCATTGCAAGGCAAGGACCTCGGTTGCCGTATCTGACAATGCGCAGCAAAAGGTCTGGTGGCGATTAGTAAACCATAATATTCCACTCTCAGGCTGGCAGAGCCCGGAAAAAGACTAGACGTACCAGATCCAATTCCTCCAAGTTTTTGGCTGCATTAGTGAGATGCACGATGGCGTTGTCCGTCAAATAAGTGCAGTCCGCTAAACAAAGCTTTCGCAGGTTGGTGAACTGAGCATTGCCCCAATATCTGAACCCTTGGTCTGTAATTGTGGTGCAACGAGTTAAATCCATTTCCTCAATCCGACCAGCGGCGTGAGACGCAATATGATGCATAGATCGATCGGTGACATGTTTGCAGTAAGAAAGGGTGAGTTTTTTCAAATTTGGACAGCCGTACACTGTATATTCTGCCGTCTGAATCGTGGGTTTGATCGATGACTGTTTCTCGCCCATCTTCTGGTCGGCGGGCACTACCCATCCAATGATCCGAGCAAGAAGCGTATCTCCGACCTTGCGGCAATTGCTCAAGTCTACCTCCTGTATATTAGTGGCTTTGCTGGACATTTCAAGAATGGCAGAGGCCGTGACATCCCACACACTCTTCATCTTCCACACGGTGGTGTTTGGGGCGCAGGTCGCGGCCAGTGCCGTGAAGCCTTCGTCGGTCACGTGAAAGCAATTGTTGATATTGACCGACCGAGCTCGATTGCCGACAAAGGGACAGATAGTCTTGATAAGAACATCATCCGTAATCCTCCGGTTGTAGACGCTCAAGTCAAGATCATGAATCACGTCCGTAGATCGGGTCAAGAGCTCAGACCAATGGGACGATACCGCCCTAATCCGAAGCAGGTGGTGGAGTTCAAGGTGTTGGAAAATGCTCAGCAAGACACTGTCTGGGAGTAACCCATTGGAGCCATCGATCCGTGGCCGTTCGGCCTGATATGACTGGGAGAGACTGGCAGTTTCGGGAAGGGTAAGGGTTGAAGAACCGGCAGAGCACGGCTCCGACGGAGATGAGCGCTGCTGCTCCCCTGATACCTCATCGGGAGAAAAAGGTGCCAGCGAGCCACGTCGACTTCTCATCCGGACTTTATCCAGGCCAATGCTGAAGTATGGGTCGGGATCAGAGGGCCGTAACACATCCTGGTCTTGGTCTTCAACATGCGAGGACTGATGTGGTCCATCCAGCTCGGTTTCAGTGAGGGTAAGTAGTGGCATTGACCGTCGCCGGGATGAGGTGAACTTGACTTTGTCGTCGAGGGCGAGATCACCAATAAATGGTTGCGGGTCCGCCTCGTCAGACATGACAATATCGCCATCGGCTGCCACCTGGAGCCTTGCTTGGGCAGTGCGTTCAACTTGTTCCCGCACTTCACTAGGACAATTCTCCCAAAATTCAGCGAGGACGTCACCGCCGAGCATCAAACACTCTACTGAATTAACAGATCGAACGGTAGCAGTTCTTCGAGGTGCTAAATCTAGGCTGACGACCTCGCCAAAGTACTGGCCTTGCTTCAGCCTAGCTTTGACCTCAATTCCCGGCCGTTCAATGTGCCCATTTGGGCCGTTTCTGTTTGCTGGGTAATCCATCTCCGCCTTTTCCGTAAGAATCTCCACCTCGCCGCGAACAATAAAGTAGAGCTCACGGCCTTGAGAATTTTGTTGTATAATATCGGTAAATGGAGGGAAAGATCGCGGCTGGGCGTTGAGGCCAAGGTAGTGGAGAATATCGGCAGGCAACCCAGAAAAAAGTGGCAGCTCTTTAAGTAAAAGACGTACATTGACCATTCCATTTGCCAATGCACTAGAGCCATCCCGCCGACCAGGACTCGGTGACTTCCTCTTCTTGTACACAGACTTGGCGCTCATGTCCCCATCATCCTCTATAGCAGCCAGATCTTTGTCGCGAAGTCTCTTGGAGCCTCTTCTTGCCGGGCTCGGTGGATCCAGTGGAAGCGCGGAGCTTTCTTTCTTTTTCTTTTCTAAAATCATCAACCGCTCCTCTGCCTCCTCCCGAATTGCTTGTTCAACCTCCGGAAACCGAGGCAAAATATTCCGAAAGTCGTCTTTTGTCAGCACAACCAGCATGCATCGAGTCCGGGCGATTATGGTCGCAGTGCGAGGACGATCCATGAGCAATCCAATCTCCCCGAAGAACGCACCGGGTTTGAGTTCAGCATATATACTCTCGCCATCCCGAGATGTGACTGAGACAGCACCCCGCACCAGCCAGTATATTGCCTTTGCCTCATCGCCTTCCGTCAAGATATAATCGTTGGGGGCGTGGAGCTGTGGGCGCAGGTGCTGTCCGACCTCGATCAAAAAGGATTCCGGAGTAGCTTGGAATAGAGGGAAAGACCGTAACCGATCTACCAGTTCCAAGGGCAGAGCTTTGATGTGAGAGGAGGCCAAGGGCGAGGGGCGCGCGGGTCGGTTTGGGTTCATGACCGAATCGAACGAACGTATGAGGGATACAGTGTCGGACAAGGGCGAGACGGCCTTGGTTGGACCGCCACTGGACCTGCCATGGCGACGCATTTTGATCTAGGTATTCTGAATGAGGATGTGAGATAGATTCAATTATTTCTCCCAGGCATAAAGAGGTCAATAAATCTATGACGTCGACGAAAGTAGCGTCGAACTTCGCATCGGCATCTTCAGCGCCCAATTGATATCGCAGAGTTTAACGGACAGACATGAATGTAAGGTATTAAGGAGAAGCAAAGATCGGGGAAAAAAAAAGGTAGACGACAACTTCGAGCTAAGGTCTTGAGGTGGGGGGGGGAATGGTTTCCGAATCAGCGACGTCAAATGCGGTTTCTCCACCGATCACCTGGGAGCCTTCGGAAACTCTATGAGAACCTCCACTGTGGGATTTGGTGGAATTGTTCTAATTTTCTAGATCAATTACGATATATCGATGTACAACATAGACGCCTATCAGTCTTGAGGGTTTATTCTTTCTTTCTTTTTTTAAAAAGTGGGGGACGTTAGCACTGAGCGGTCAATCATTCTTTGAACCTGCAGCAACCGGGCCGATCTCCTCTGTTCTTTTTTTTTTTTTTTTTGGCTCATCCCCGGAAACAAAGAAAGACGTCGATTGGGGGGGGGGGAAAGATGCGTGGGCTTCGTTATCAGGGTCTTGAATTCGCTGATACACTTTATTCTATACATCTTTTAGTTGTGGCGGCCTCTTAGACTTGTGTTTACGTTAAAATTTCATTACCTCCAGGGATAGGTACCCACCCAATAATCCCTGCAACTAGATTAATTCTTTAACTTATTGACAGAATGCTACGAGATTCTAGTCCAAATACAATCTAGTCACGCCACAATGGTGTTCCTAATTGGCTTGGGGCGTGGTCACACTATCACACAGAATCCGGCGATGGGTCACGTGCCATTCTGTAGCAGCACAAGGGCAAAAATGTTCATCTTGTTTGATGCTGATTGGACAAATGGGTATCAAAAATGCAAAACATTACAGGTAACTAAAAGAATGGTGTGTGCGTTGTTGCCAAGGAGCACGATCAGATGGAGAGAGGCCGGGGTGGTCACCAGACTAAATATCTCACAGTAGCTCGATGAAGGCCTAAACACAGTGATTGGGGCTGCTTTGAGTCGGACATGTGGCTCACCTCGCCGTTATTGAATGCATGCTGTCTGAAACAGCATACTGAGCAGCCGGTTCTCGATCGAACGCCAAAGAGCATCCAAGGGAGTGGAGTGGGAGACCCCAAACTGTTGGTTCCCTTCCCGGCATGTGGGACCTCCAAAGCGTGCAGCGAGACTGGGACTTCCACAAAACAGAAGGATCTAGGGAGCCATTGTGATTTGGGCCCACCTACAATCAGATTGATCCTTCTTTCTTCGCCTTAGACCGACGGTTGCCAAGGAAAAAATCAACGTAGCTAGGGCGATTTCCTTTCAAAGTCTCAAGGGCATCCTGTAAAAGACCATAGGTCAAGCTCAATTTCAACCCAAGCTTCGCTGTGCGGGCGGCAGTGTAAACATCGTGACGAGCTGTGCGAGTGAGCTAGGTCAGCTTCGGTTACTCCAGTAACGATGCCCTGGCGGAAAATTTTCCTTACCAAGCAAGCTGTATATTCCGGAGAATGACAGCCCTGCAGTAACTGTCGATAAGAAGTCTCTCTCGTCATGGCGAGCATAGTCCACTGTCTCCTCAAACAGACAGAAGGCAAATGCGCCAGCACCGAGCTTAAGTCCCATCTTCATGCCATCTTTGGCGCCTCCAACCACACCAATGTAGTTTTTCGTTTTATGGTACTGGAACCACCCTGTCGATGTCGTGGGGAAACGATGCGCATTCTCAGCCCTGAACACAAGCCCTGCCTTTTTGCTGCCGTGATAGTATCCTAGTGCTAGCCCAGTCGAGAAAGCGGAAATGGTAGCATACGGTAACCGCTTGCCGAAGTCAATGCCCAATCGTGGAGGGCTGTCGGATTCAAACAGCTTGTCCCAGTGGACGATCTTGAGGACGATGGAATTGTGCTGTGAGGAGTCCGTAGATGTGGGTTGATTGACTTCCATGTTGAAGCTTAAAAGAGAAAGAGTAGGGCACTCGCAACAACCTTTGAGATTTGGCTGTAGGGAATGTGGTAAATGTGGTGTTAGCAAAGCTCAGAAATTGGGAGCGCGGAAGGCGGAGTCTCGCCGGATTCTCCGCCTCCCGTCACTCCTTCAAATCAATTACCACATAGATACGACCTACCTTCTGATTTCCCTTCAGTTTTCACAATGGTATGTGAATCTGCCTTTAAAAAATAAGGATTATCGAATGGCTAACTACTGAACAGCCGCCTAAGCAATCCAAACCCGACTCGCGCGCTGTGACCATCCTCTTCAAGAAGCATAAAACCACTGTGCTTCTGATGCTCCAACCCCACGAATCACTCGACTTGACCAAGACAAGGCTTCTAAATGCCCTGAAATCACGAGAAGTTACCGCCATAAACGGCGACACTGTTCCTGATGACTCCCTCGACATTGAGTTCGGTGAGCCTGTCGACCGGGCAGACCCCGAGAAAGGCTGGAAGCGCCTCCCGGTAGATTCGTCACAAAATGAGTCAGTAACTGTAATGGAGGCAGGTCTGAAGGATGGAAACTCAATTGCCTTCCGCTTTCATAAATCAACTGAGGGTCAGAATGGCGGTCTTGATATGGACCTTGACGGCGAGGATCCAGGCTGGGATGTCGTCATGCCGAGCTATGAGGAAGAGCCAGAGGAAGAGCTAGAGTCACTATGACTTGGGGGAAAGAACTAGGTCAGAGGACATTTGTCTATGGCTATTGGCGTTCCAAGAGGGATTGAGTGATTCAAAAAATCAAATGGCGTTTGTGCAGCCGAGGAAGGGTATCAGGATAAATGCACAACTTAAAGCGATGTTTTTCATTTACACGAAATGGTGTAAATTCCTCAATTTTAAGTAATTTGAATGGATTATTCCAGTGATAGTCGATGCCAGGATAATAGCATATTCAATTGGTTTTTGTTTAAGCGCCCTATGGTTAGTTATGTTGTACATGGTCTGATAACCACCCATTGGTCATTGGAAACCAGTGAGTGTGGATAGAGCCAGTAGGACATGAAGAAGAATACTTGAAAAGCAGAACACGCGTCACGACAGGGAACCTTGAATATTGAGTCACTCATGTTGCCACGCCCAAATCAAACACCACTTTGAAACGGTTGCTCGGAGCAACCACTAGATCACAACACACGCATCAACAAATGAAATCGCTTCAAGAAGCTCTTCGGAGAATACCTGCACCCCCTACCCCATACAACCTTAGATCCATTCTTCGACTCTTCTGCATTCCTTATCTTCGACAGGAAATAGCCAAGCTTCCCCCTTGGCCTTGCCATTGCAGGGTGTCGACAACTGAGTGACGTGCGGGCCCCGCAAAACAGCTTCACGACTTGGGGTTGATCCGACCCGACCTTCCAACATGGATGCTTCCGACGGTGCTTCCTCGATCAGCGTTACAGTCAGAGTCCGCCCTTTTACTATCAGGGAGGCAGCCCAGATCACACGATGTGACGAGGGTCCCCTGTTCCTCGGCGACGGTTCCCTCGCGGGCGCGCCGACACCGAAGCTTAATCAGAAGGGTATAAGATCTATCGTCAAAGTTATTGACGACCGCTGCTTGTGAGTATTCTGTGCATTTTGAACGTTGGGTCCAACATCCTAACTGGGCTAGGGTGTTTGACCCCCCAGAGGACAATCCCGTCCAAAAGTTCTCTAGGAGCGTGGTACCAAACGGTAAGCGTGTGAAGGACCAGACCTTCGCTTTCGATCGCATCTTCGACCAAAATGCTTCCCAGGGAGAGGTGTATGAATCTACAACCCGCAGCCTGCTCAACAACGTGCTCGACGGATACAATGCGACGGTATTTGCGTATGGAGCTACTGGATGTGGAAAAACCCACACTATCACTGGAACTGCCCAACAACCCGGTATCATCTTTCTCACCATGCAGGAGCTGTTTGAGCGGATTGATGAACGAGCAAGCGAAAAGTCGACTGAAATTTCCCTTTCTTACCTCGAGATCTATAATGAAACCATTCGTGACTTGCTTGTCCCTATTGGTAGCAGTGGAAAAGGTGGATTGATGCTGCGGGAGGACTCCAACCAGTCAGTCTCGGTCGCCGGGCTGTCAAGTCACCACCCGCAGAATGTGGGAGAGGTGATGGACATGATCATGCAAGGTAATGAACGCCGCACCATGTCTCCTACCGCAGCCAATGCTACTTCATCCCGGTCGCATGCCGTTCTTCAAATCAACATCGCGCAGAAAGATCGAAATGCGGACGTCAATGAGCCTCACACCATGGCCACTTTAAGTATCATCGATTTAGCGGGAAGTGAGCGTGCTAGCGCGACATTGAACAGAGGAGAACGTTTATTCGAAGGTGCCAATATCAACAAGTCTCTTCTGTCACTAGGAAGCTGCATCAATGCACTTTGTGACCCACGAAAGCGCAACCATATCCCTTACCGAAACTCAAAGCTCACTCGATTACTCAAATTTGCTCTTGGTGGCAATTGCAAGACAGTCATGATTGTCTGCGTCAGTCCCTCAAGCCAGCACTTTGACGAGACCCAAAATACTCTTCGATATGCGAATCGAGCAAAGAACATCCAGACCAAAGTTACACGTAATGTCTTCAACGTTAACCGACACGTAAAGGACTTTTTGGTCAAGATCGATGAGCAAATGAATTTGATCAATGAGCTTAAAGCACAGGCAAGGGACTATGAAAAAGTGGCCTTTGCCAAATTTCGTAAGCAGGGTGAGAAGAAAGATGCTGTCTTGCGCGAGGGTATTGCTCGGATTCGCAATGCTTATGAACACACGTTGCCCGAGAGGCAAGAGAAGAGCAACCACATGCTGAAACTAAGGCAAATTGGCCGCAGAATTGGCATTTTGTCGTCTTGGATTGCAGCTTTTGATAATGTTTGCGCCGCACATGAAAACGAGGAGGGTTTATCAAACCTTCATGCAGTTCGCAAATCTGCACAGGGAATCCTCCTCGAATTGGAAGGCAGCAGGCATCATTACAATCAGAAACTATCAAAAAGCACATGGGACCGTCCGGTGAACTCGGCAGTCGAGAACGCAGCAAAGCAGCTTCAAGAGTTTTATATTACCGACAACAGCGACTATGCCAATTTGAATCGGGAAGCAGATCTTCTTCGGTCCAATGCAGAGCGCGAAGCATTGACAGCGGTGATAGAACAGGACAAGGCTGGAGAAGCTGCTGCTGTACAGCTTCTATTGCAAGCACAGTTTGAGATGATGAACTCTATCGAGGATATCATGCAGCTAAACTCAAATGAGGCCATTGAAAAAGGACGATCTATCCTTACCAAAATGTTGGAGGATTGTGCAGATGCAGCAACCAACCTCGTCAAGCCAGATGGCGCTATGCCGTCTGTACCGAATGTCAGCTCTGTCAGGCCTGCAAGCCCTACGAAAACAAGGAAGCGCTTCAGCTTGGTGAGCTTGCCACCAGTATCGACTGCCAACCCTCCAGTTGCACTCGCCCCGGCTGCCCCTGCTTCACCAACTAAGGGCTCTCCGCGTCGCCGTAAAGGCATTGCCGGTCGGAAGAGTGTGAGCTTTTCGCCAAAGAAAGCCCAGATGAAAATCCCTAAACGATCTGTCCGGTGGAAGGATGATGAGGAAGACGGCACATTGACCGAATTCCAAAAGACACCCAAGAAGGCCGACTCTGCCGATGAAGCCAGCTTCGACGACTCATGGTTGCCACCTCGATCGGGATCTCCTATTCCACGAAATATCCCGAGGGCTACAAGCCCGTCGGGTTCTATCTCCCCCACCCCTGACGAGTCTGCCGAATCCGCTGGATCTACCTTGAACGTTCAAAAGAACGCAAATCGCTTCAAAGCAGGATTTTTGACCAAGAGAAATGGCAGCTCACCATTGGGACCACCGCCTACATCCAGCCTTCCTCTTTCAAGAAGGGACGGCTCCCCACTCCGTGACATTGAAGGAAGCAGCTTTCTGAACCGCACCTTGATGGACCGACCATCCCGGATTGCTGTTCGTAGTCCCAGCGGGAACTTCTTGAGCAGTCCAGCATCTGAAAACAAGAACAACTGGAAGTCGGACAAGGAAGAAGCAATTAAGATTAATTCGGCCATGAGACGTATGTCTAGTGGGCGGATTGCTAGTGGACAACTCAGCGCTCCATCCTCCAACGCCCTGCGAGTTCACCGTCGTCGCAGCCCGACTTCCACCTATGGGACCTCGCAAGCAGACAACCACATGTTCACCGCATCACAAGCGCGGCGTATGGTCAAGAGTGAAAGAGAACACGATATCAAACCTCGGGTCTTAAGCCCTCATACCCTCCCAGTCATGAAGCACACGGGACGCCGCACAACATTGGGTGGAGACGGTCGACCTCGAAACATCAGCCTATCCAGCAGGGATGCCATTCGTCTCAGTGCGATGGCAGCGCCTCCGACTGGCCACAACTCACAAACATGGTAGTGGACTTTGGTGAACGACTTCAATGTATTTCATGAATGACTTTGGTTTTTTTTTCAATTGTTTTCAATGTTTGAAATTGGCGTTTTGTCGGCGTAGCAGATACCACCTTTTTTTTTGTACATTTGTACAACTGAATTCTTATTGAACTTGAGCCTGTCATTTTTCTCTGTTCTTGTGTTGTTGGGTTTCAACTGGGCAGCTTTTGTACAATAACCACATCAATCAAACAGGGTTGCCGGAAGCCCTCAATTTCACTGCCGAATTCCCCGCGCTTCTTTGGAAAGAAATGACGCCATCGCGAACCTCCATAGGTCAAACTCCCATCTAATTCTTCTCTTCACTTCTTCACCTTTCGCTTTCATTTTTCCTATTTCAACCTCCCCATCAAACTGCTCCCTTTCCATCCCTGCTACAGCACTCTGTACAGCCCCTTTCACTTCCGAATCTGCGAACATATCCACTTGACAAGTACGTTTCCACCCATACCAGAATTTCTGCAAATGACTTTCGCCGCTCCGGTTGCCTCGACGCTTTTCTCACGCTTCTTCCGTTCTTTCTCCACCAGCTCAGCTTCTTCCTTGACCCCAGAAACACAATTCCGCAACATGTCAGACACACAGACTGCGACCGTAGCAGCCGGCTGCTTCTGGGGCGTTGAGCACCTGTACCGCAAGAATTTCGGGAACGGCAAAGGCCTCCTCGATGCCAAGGTGGGCTACTGCGGTGGCACTGCTTCGTCACCATCGTACCAAGCTGTCTGCTCCGGTTCAACTGGCCGTAAGTACTGTGTTATATGAGAAAAAACAACAACAACAAAGCGGAGTTCCTTATCGCGATCGCATCTTCAAACACTAATTATTTTCTTTGGCTCTCCACAGATGCTGAAGCCCTCAAGATAATCTTCGATCCTTCGATTGTGACCTACCGCCAGCTCCTCGAATTCTTCTACCGCATGCACGACCCCACAACAGAAAACCGACAGGGTCCGGATGTTGGCACACAGTACCGTAGTGCGATCTTTACCCACGGGGAAGAGCAGCAGAAGATCGCAGAGGATATTACAGAAAAAGTCAGCAAGCAGTGGTATAAAACGCCGCTTTCTACCAAGCTCCTGCCAGCAGGCCAATGGTGGGATGCGGAGGAATATCACCAGCTCTATCTTCAGAATAACCCTGCTGGGTATGAATGTCCTGCTCAGTATGTGTCATTGTCCTTCCGGCTCCATTCGATCAGGTTGCTAACCTCATGCTTTCAGCTTTATCCGACCTTTCCCTCCTTTGTCGGATTGACTAGATTCCAAAATGTAATTTACCTTGGCGCATGTCTTCCTAATGTGTACCCGAAGAAGATTAAATCCAAAACATGACATTTCCATTATGGATGTTCGCACTAGCGCATAGTTTCTATTAAGGCTTGTGCTTGGTGCTCAAGTCCGCCTGTAGGCATATTTGTCCTGTAGGACCAGGGTCCTCTCTTCCTCACTCCGCACTATTTCCCAAGTCAAAACGTGCTTCATTCTTCATGTCGAAACTCGGGTTCACGAATGATCTTGGCAAGCTAGTAGACCATAGAAGAGCTGTGAACCTTATCCATTCATTCATCTCCCAGATACGTCATTGGGCGGGTGTGCAACAGATTGGGTGAGCAGAGTGCGTTTCATATTCGCAGCTACTCCACATATTGTCAAATACCGTCAGATTGGCTTTCTTTGCCCAACAGCACTCGTTCTCTTGCCGTTTATAGATAACCGCCGCCTGTAAAATTATTGATTGAGCCAGGAAAATAATGCAGCAGATGTAATTGCTCGAGATGGACTTACAGAAGCAAGATCGCTAAACACTGCCACTCAACCTCTCGAGTTCTGCTTGGGCTGGGGTGCGGCGGTCAACCCGTCCATATGTTCGCATGACTGTGTGGGTGTTTAGGTACATACATAATAATGCAAGTTTCCCAGAAAGGTACACTATACGGAGCACTTCGGAATTTACTTCCAAGGGCTATACCTTGTAGGTACTACAACAGCCCCTTAGGGTCTGCATTTACTGTTCGTGGCACAACATGATGAACCATATTCCTGCCTTGGTCCTTGACGAAAGTGACCTCTAGAGCCTCGGCCTCTCACCCAAGGATTCCGCCTTTTCGGAAATTTGTCTAGGTTAGACAGCCTCGTCGCTCGTGTTGATATGGGGATGGACTGAGGCGTACTATCACCGTACGAAAATGACGGGTGAGAGGTTAGATTTTGACGGGGAGCAGAATGCTGCATCGGGGTATACGGAGGGCCGTTCGCGTTGAGTCATTTGCACTAGGAATTGACATTGATATGCATGCTCTATGTATGATAATGATTTCATTTTCTCGATGTAGCTTGCTCTCAATACATGTTACGCGGGGATCCTTTTAGGCTTGCTGGCAGCTTTGAGGTAGTGGTAGATCGCAGTGACCTTACTGACAGAGATCTATGGTTTCAACACTAGTTAGTTAACTAGCTCATCAATATGACAAAATCCGCTCTTTTTTTAACAATCTGTGCAGACAAAGCTGACTAAACGTTACATACAATTTGTGTGTGCGACACCATCATGTTGGTCCGCATGTTTTCGGGTATTTTTTTACACTTTTTCAGCCATGGGTTGCATGCACCCTTGGTTTCGACACACCCCGTTTTCGGCATAAGTTACACTTTTGGTTTCGACACTTTCTTCAAAAATGTTGATGCCCTTTCAAAATATTAACCCTCACCGCTTCCATAACTAGTTCACACCCAGCTGATACCTTGACACCGCCTTCTTTTCACCTCGTTTTTTCAATACATCCATCCACCCCGTTGATCCTATAACTATAGGTGGTATCTTACCTAAGATAAGAGTTCTGCTAAAGGTACCTAGCCTTTTATAATACGGACTATCAGTCTATTTACTAGTTCGAAACTAATTAATAAGAGTTATAACTGTGTAGGGGCAAGGTAAGAGGCACAATCGGTTCCGACCGGTAAGGAAGTAGTTTTATCCTAAATTAAATTTATTAAGCGGTAATCGGCAAAACAACAGAAATTTATTAATGGTAGGAGCCGGTGAGCAGTCCTCTATTTATCATACGACTTTTTTTTTGTCAATCGGTGAACTGAGCTCTGAGTTCATTGATGAACCGAGCTGTAGTCACGTGTGTTCTGTTGCCTACACATGGTTCTTATCTTATCTTATCTTATCGGACACATGGCATCAACACAGTGCGGTCAGCCTCGGTCTCAGCCCCTCGAGCTCTTCCTCCCAACAGAATAGTCTCTTCTAAATCTCTGCATTTATCTACTCTCATTGGTCGCTCTCTTGATTGCTGCTGGTATTAGTTCAGGTAGTTAACATTACATAACTACCTCTGTCCAATTTTCGACGAACCTGCTTGTTCCAGGGGTGACTTCCCGCAATCGCAACCATGGCTCTATACAACCAAACTGTGGATTTTCTCTCTGGTGCCTTCTCGAATAAGCAGACTCAACTCCCCTTGCTAGCAGTAACTGGGGCTTCATTTACACTTGGTCTACTCGCTCGATCGGCTTTCCCTTCAAACGAATCGCCCCAGACTGTTCACGTCTCGCCTCGATCAACAGTCCTGCCCGGCATATCCGAGTCGGAGAATCGTCAACTGCCTCTCCCGACGGATGCCCTGCCCGGTGCTCGTGATGTTGCTAGCCCGTATGGGTCGATCCGAGTGTATGAATGGGGCCCGGAAGATGGACCCAAGGTGTTGCTCGTGCACGGTATCACCACTCCTTGTATTTCGCTCGGCGGGTTGGCCCATGCACTAGCGGATCGCGGCTGCCGTGTCATGCTATTTGACTTGTAGGCGTTACACAACACTGAACACTTCGATTGGTCGCTGACCCGAGAACAATAGGTTCGGAAGAGGATATTCCGACTGCCCCGCTGATCTTCCACAAGATGACCGCCTCTTCTCGACACAGATCTTCCTCGCTCTGACATCATCGCCTATCTCTTGGACCGGTGCAGAGTCCGGTAAATTCTGCCTTACTGGCTACTCTCTGGGAGGTGGTATTGCCGCAGCCTTTGCATCCTACTTTCCTCATCTTCTGTCGTCATTGGTGCTCCTGGCCCCTTCAGGCTTGCTTCGCAATTCGCAAATCAGTTTCCAAAGTCGACTCCTTTACTCAAAGGGTCTTATGCCCGAGAATATCTTATCATTTTTGGTCAGCCGTCGACTGAGAGCAGGGCCCTTGGTCACGCCCAAACCCAAAAACAAGAAGCTCAGCGCTGCAGATGTACTGGCCGAGGAACTGCCTTCCCAGAGCGCTGCAGCAACCCAAATTCTGTCCCGGGAATACCCCTACATCAACGTCCCGTCTACTGTGGCATGGCAGGTGAATACCCATACCGGATTTGTCCACGCTTTCATGTCTAGCATGCGTTATGGCCCAATCCTACAAGAGCGCCAATGGAACAGATGGGCGCGTCTTGGCGATTATCTAACTGCACAAAACGGCGCCTCAAGCAGCGAGAACAAGAGACCGGTGGTCAACAAGGTCCACATCCTGTGTGGCAACAATGATTCAATCATTGTCAAAAGTGAGCTTGTTCCAGATGCCACGGCTGCCCTGGGTGGCAACGTTGTCTTCAAGTTCTACGAAGCGGGACATGAGTTCCCCAGTACCAAGTACGAGGAAGTAGCATCTTATATCTTCGAGTTACTATGAACAGGGAGTTTCACAGAATCTACCCACTCTTGAGAGGAGGCTTGAGACAATGTTCATGGAGATGTCATTCATTTCTATTTGGTAGATCCACTATACATAGAAGTTGGTGTTGATTTCTTTATTCATCTTTTTCATTTGTTTTGGATTCTTAACTTTTAGTTTTCAGAATTTCCTCCATGGCATTGAGTTGACTTGATAGCCCTGTGAGGTGTGCCGTCCTCTCTGGCATTCGCGCACCAGCAAAGTAAGGGCCCTCGGAGGCTGGTGTCCGTGCAAATCGGTCCACACTGCTGCGACTGGTTCCTGGTACTTGGCTGACGTTGTCTTGGCTTATAGCGTTGGCACCGGTACCGTTGGCAACACTGCAGGATAAGCTAGTTAGTTGGTTGATCAAAGCATGCATTTGGATTTAGATACACTCACGCTGTGCTTCTTGTCTCCGGAATAGACATGGTGTGTGTGGTTGGTTATTTGCAATATATATGAGGTTCTCACGGGGTATTCAGAAGAATCAAAAACTCGAATCACCGAGAAGAGGTCCAGTAGAAGGAAGGAAGGATGAGGTAGTGTGGTGCTCAAGAGCGAGGTATGTGCTTGGCTTTGATCGATGTGTTTAGAACTGAGCCGTAGAGACGATTGCTGAGTTAATGAGTTGATGATGACCAGGATACACTGAGCGGGAGCTCCTATATATACACTGCATGTCTGACGTTGTGCATGAGGACGGCATGCCTTTGCGGCCGAACACGCGAGCTTGAGCTTCGCATCGCAACCCACATGGACACTACGAGCTAAAGGACGGATGAATTAAGGAAAGGATCTTCATAGACTGCATAAATTCCACCTGCCATGGGCCTGTGATGGCATCTCGACCCTTGAGCTCAACGTTCGCCAAAGCTCAGTCCGCATGAACCATGCCAGTTCGGGAATTCGTTTTTCGGGAATTCGTTTTTCGGGAAACCCCGAGTGTTCATCACCAACCGCACATACCCGTTCGGCTCATCTATGCAAAACAAGCGACTAGCCCGTTGCTATTGGCTGAACAGGAAGTGACCGGGGCTGGAAGGCAGGTACCAGCCGCATAAGGATGCGTGGACTGAAAGACCCACTTTTGCGATCATCCTGAGCGTATATGCAACATTCTTCTTCGGCACATGGCCAAACACATGTTTCAGGTTTAAGAGCATCTAGCGACATATGTGGAATGAAGCGAGGGGGCGAGGTAAACATCAATTCCAGTGCCTGAAAACGGATCTTCGGCCGAGCTATCAAACAAGGGACAAAGATCACGATCTACATCTGAAAAGAGATTAACGTCATTTCCCAAGGGTCTAGAACTCGCTGAAACGAACAATCCCCGAGCTATCCTTGGCGGCAAAAGTGCTTCATAGTGGCATCCTCGTGTGAGGTGACTGCGATACAAACCTCCAGGGTGAAACAATATCGGGGCCTAACGTGGTCGATCACATGCCCATGTAAGGACACAGGGGTTCGGCTCTAAGATGTCGAGAAGAGAAAACAAAACAAAGCAACGCTCATGATTACTGCAATCCCCGGGCCATGTGCGCCTGCTGCATGTTTCCTTCATTCCCCTTTCTTGACACTAACACTGCAGATCTCTCAACGGCGAGTCTGAATTAGGGCTCGCTACTCTCAGCGCGAGATACTTCAATAGTCCCAGGTCCATACCAACCCTGCCTTGCCCGGCTTAAGCTCTAAGAATTGATTACATCGCCATCACTTCAAACACAGGAATGCCTACGGAGTACTCCGTAGATACGGCACGGAAAGCCGGAGATCTCCGAAATGTGAGTGACTGATTTTTGTTGAAGACTCCAAGTTAGAGCGTGCCTACGAAACGGGGCTCTATAGATTGCCTTGTTAAAACCAATAATGACGAGTCCAAAGGCTGGACCAGCTCAGAAAAGCATCAGCCATAGCAGTTTTCCTTGGAGTGCTAGCAAGACCTGGACACATTCACTGGTCAAAGGGCTCAAAGCTTTTGTTCATGAGACAGGGCAACGAGTTTGGGGGTTTCAAAGGCTACTATATTGTAAGTGTGCTGACGCTGATCTCCAAGTTGTACCCAAGCAACCTCGGATTTAACGGATCTCCGCTACACTTCACAGACCGAGGGCAGTGGACCGTACCGCACACACTAACCATGCAAGAAAGGTGCGCAGTATTGGCCTTTTCAGTTCTTGGTCAAGTCCAAGCCACATTCGCCTTATGGAAACCAGTGTTTCAAGATAATAAGGTTGTTTTCCCCACGCGCATCCAAATGTGCTCATTCCTCTATAAGCAATGCTTGACGAGGTGTCCTGTGAGGATATGCAAGGCGTTTCTGGTGGAATTTCAGTAATCTTATCTCCATACACTACGGCGTCGATCACTTGGCTCACTAAGCCCGAACCCCGAGAGCCGCGTATCCGTTTCAAGTGAGCTGACCTGGTGGTAGATGTATTTCGTGATGCGATAGTGTTTTAGTTCGTGATGCGCGCTGGACCCCACCACAATTTCAGCCCTGGGGAATTTGGGGCTAAGAACTCAGTCCGTTTTTAACCCTGAAACAGGGCCCCTGAAATTCACAGGAACTCAACGGAATTCTTCTTTGCTCCTTAATTTTACCTATCACAAAAGAAGAAAAAAAGAAAGTCCAACGAGTCATCCAAGGGGGGGAAAGTGACCAGTGCGTTGACAGAAGAGGAAGTGATCGTCTATACTATTTTCTCTTTGGAACATTTGACGCACCTTGCTAATCACCACAGAACTCCTCAGGCTCAAACGCAGCTCAATGGTTCGAGTTCATTCTGGGGTCCGGCAAAGATGCCGAAATTGCAGCTGCCACTTGTTACCATCGCGATCTGTGCTTCTGACACAGCCATGCCAGGGAATCGAAATGGGGAGTCAAGTCCGAGACTAGTGACAGACATTGGCTGAAAACAGAGCGTTCTTTCCACGCGTGTGAACGTGCTCTATGCAGCCGGCTTACTTTATGCAACGGCTCTGCCTTTGCCGGTAAGCCGTCTTTTCAAAATACGGACCTCGCTCTATCCGAGCTGGCTGCAAACAAGGGCCCTTTCTCGGAAGCGGACTCACACTCGCAAAAAGTCCTTCTTGATCTAGCTGACAAGTCTAATATCGGCGTTCGGATGACATCGTCGAGTTTTGTATAAACGAGGATCGAAAGATGCTTAGCTTTGGCTGACACACATGCATTTTGGTATAAGACTCGCAAGTCGATTTGATGAATCAAGGGATGACGGCACAGTCATATCTCTGGAGCACTCTTTGACTCACTGTGCGAACGCTAGGACCCTGAAAAGAATTCTCACAGCGGCTCGTTTCTTTGCTTTTGTTTTAGAAGCTAGAGGGAAAAAAAGAAAGTCAAGATGAGAATCTGATCCTTTCACATCTCAACCAGGTAGACACAGATTACTACAAGTCTTGAAACACATGCCATGAGAATTTTTAATGAAGAATTGGTGATAACCATAGTGATGTAGAAACCAGCAGGAAACACCCGAAGGGATATAAAGATCAGGATGACATCTCATAAGCGTGGAGTGGCAAAACAGCAAAACCGCCCCAAAATTGAAAAGGTCAGATGCCTTTGATCAGCTAGCACTTGAGGCATGCTTTTCCTTGCACTCCAATGCACGATAGAGGCAATAAAATGCCGAAAGGTATCTTGCGTACAGAGGCCAGGTGGTGAAGAGGGCAAATGGTGAGAAAACTCGCCTTGAAATTTGCGTGTTTTGTGTTGGGAACGTGGAGTTCCACCTAGGTGTTGCTTTGATGGGCTTTATCCAGTGTTGAGAAGAATTTCAAAGGCTATGTTAGGATATACAGCAACCATGAATCATCAGACATGTAGAAATTAGCGAGGCTGGCCCGTTCCATGATTCTCCTCGTCTTCTATCGAATTCCAAGTCTCGGAGGTCATTTCTGCTGGTCTCGGAGGATGCCATTAACGCTCTTTTTTCTTTAATGGCTTCCATTACGGCCAATCCTCCGTCCCCCTTTGGCTCTATCTCTGGTGCTGGGACCCTATGCTGCGATGGTGCCATGGGGAATTTCCTCGCATTGGTGGTCATCGCAGATGATAACTGGCTCTGGTTCTGGCTCATCACAACGTTCTTCGTCTATATGGCTATCATCGTTGGTATGAGATACCATGTCAGTCTTCCGGGGATTTTTCCTCGTTTTGGTGGCCACCATTCCTGGCATCAGAGAGGACTTGGCTGTTGCACTTCGAATTCTCATTTCCAGCTAGACTTTCAACTTTTCCCATTTCCTAATCGGTGGCGCAAGGTGCGCAAAGAATTGACAACATGAAGTTGAAAATGAAAACTTGCGACAATGATTTGCCATACCGGAGAGACATGGTTTCTAGCGAGTGGACCCAGTTCTCAGCTTATTGATCTGACACATCTCTGGTTTGAGGTGATTTACTCTCAGAATCGTTAGAACATTTCAGATATATTGTGTTACCATATCTTTCGGTTTGTTCCACCGTGTTGTATAGGCAGCGGCGGCACAAGGGATATAAGCCACTGTAACAATCTCGAGAGCTGTTATTGGCAAGTTATATATTCTTCTGGTAATAACGTTTCAATTCACCCGAAGGCTTGGAGCAGAGTAAATCGTTTGGCAAAGGAGTCACATCTTTGGCGTAGTCTTGGATGTCTCTGGTCCCCAAGTGAAATGGCAAAGATAGCAAAGATGTTGTTGTCTTGGAGTACAGGATATGCCCGATCATCCTGGGTTTGCAGACGAACTCCACCAAAGTCCCTGAATGCTTTCCAGCCATGAACTCCGGGGCACATATCGTGCCTCTCTACGCCGCTGCCTTCCACTAAGATACATTGCCCGTGTCTAACCACGGGTCGGGACAGAGATTCGCAGCGCTGTCCATGTGCAAGGGAAGATTGTTGAGATACAAGACCTGAAAATGGCTTAACTTCAGCATGTGTTGTCTTCCAATTGCCAACTTACCG